CGCGGCTGTAGCGGCTGCGAAGGCCGCAGCCGCGGTGGTCAGGCTCACGAGTGGTCCGCTCGGTGGGAAACGGGCTGCTACGAGGATCCAATGTGCTTTCAGAGGCTACTTGGTGAATAATATTTTTTCAAGATTTTTCACAAATTTGAAAAAGTTTGTTTTTTTTTCGTGTAATAAAAATTATATATTTTTGAAGGCGAGGAAAGCGTTAAGAGCGTTAAGAGGGGTGGTGAAGATACAAGCGCTAGTGAGGGGTTACTTGGTGAGGAGGCAAGCGGCCGAGACGCTTCGAAGCATGGAGGCTCTGGTTCGAGCTCAGGCCACCGTCAAGTTCCACAGAGCTCTTCGCCGGTCCGGTTATTCCGGTTCACCCAGAAAATCCACGGTTAGCAAGTTCCCGGTTTGGTATATCTTTTACCGTACCGGATTTCAATCTTCACAATCAGTATGAAATACGCAGGAAATGTTCTCCGGATATCTGGAAAACCGAAACAATGGCGAGGAAACAGCAAAGATCGTGGAAGTGGACACGGGAGGGACCCGACCCGGAATACAAAAGACCCGGAGACCCGTTTCGACCGGGTCGGTTCTAATCGACGACCCATTTCGCCGGACGTTCTCGTCCCCTCTCTCGGGTCGGATCCCGCCCCGTCTGTCGTCGATGCCAAAACCCGACTGGGACGACACCAAGTTCCCCACGGCCCAGAGCACACCTAGGTTCGCCGGAGGCTCACCGTCGAGGAGCTCTTGCTTCTCTGTCTCCGGCGTCGGAACACCGGAGGTCGACCACCGGTGTTTCTTCTCCTCCGGTGATTTTAACCCAATCTACACGGCGGATAAAAAGTCGTTCAGGGCGAAGCAGAGGTCGCAGAGCGCACCGAGGCAGAGGTCGGAGGCCGTGAAGGTGGCCGGCGGCGGAGGAGTTCCGGTGCATAGGCCGTCGTGCTCCGGCGTTAGGGAGGCCGTGATCGGGAAAATCGATAGACTAAGGGTCCAATGGTGATTTTGTTTTGTTCCTTCAAATTGTTTTTTCAGGGTAGAATAAAATAGATATTGCTTGGTGTTTATTATCACTGGTCGTACGTTACCGTGATTTAATGAAGAGGACAGTGATAGCTTGACACAATTGATCACAAGTTTGATATATACATATAACCATCGAATTGATTGTTTAGTGAATAGAAGCCTATATATGATATATATAATACATGTAAATTGAAATCCATATAATATGAAGTAAAATATTACATTTTAAGATTCGAAAGTTTTACAAATTCGTGTGTAACATGAATATAATTCAGCCTTGGGCCGACTTTTTGCCTTTCATTTCGCAAAACGACGCCGCTCTGTCGATCGATATGGAGTTGGTATTTATCGTTTAATTCGCGTGTATGTGGTTGATCACGAGTGACCAATATATAAGTGACACGTGGAAATTCGTTGACTTCCAATGCCGTTTTGGAAAATGGTAAAGTAGCTTCGTTCGAACTCCTGCGCCGAACATCAACACGGTTAAGAAAATCTCTCCTCGTGAATCCCTAATCCATCCTCTCTGGTAGGTACTTTGGATTTTTCTCGATCTCTTTTCTGATTCCTCTCGAATTCGATTTTGAGCTTAGTGTTTATTTTGCGATGAATTTGGCGTAACGGATCCTTCGACCAATGGAGGCGTGATTAGGGTTCATCCGTTGTATTTTGGCGCGGAATTTCGGTGGTCGTTGATTGTTTTGCTTGTTGCGGAATAGATTGGAGTGGGTTTTTATACATCGCAGATAATCAACCATGTTCGTGAATCGGCTCTTCGGGAAACCCAAACCGGAATCTAATGCTCTCCAAACATTAGACAAGCTAAACGAGGTATGTCACCCGATTCGCTGTCTCTTTTTTTTTAATCCTTTTTGTTCGATCTGAAATTCGATTCGTCAGTTTCGGTTGTCTCTGTGTCGTGAATCGAATGGCTGTATCTTTTTGCTGGTTATTATTTCATGCAACAGAGAGTTTGTTGATTGGTATAACCGGGATTGGTGGTTTCAGAGACTTATGAAAGAGATATTTTCCGTGAACCGACATAATCTTGATCTTTTCAATTTCTTCTAGTTTCAATCTATTAATCTTGAATTGGATGTTCAGAATTTGCTTACAGCGACTCTGCAAAATTAAGATATCGATGGTTATAAGTTGGATTTGATCTTTCTCGATTACAAGTAGAAATGCTCCTCTGAGTTTTCTTTAGCAACTAGTTCCTTGGTGGTGTTTGAAAGAGTGGCGAAGTAGCGGTTACATCATCATCGGTTGATTCATTTTATCCGCAGACGCTCGAGATGTTGGAGAAAAAGGAGAAAGTTCTCCTGAAGAAGGCTTCTGCAGAAGTCGAAAAAGCAAAGGAATTCACCCGACTAAAGAACAAACGAGGTACCACGACTGCATCTACATGTAATCTTATAATCGTGTGTTCATATGCAAGTGTATATATGGTCATATGTATAAAATGTAACCATTTATTGTGGAATGCTAAGGTGTGTTTGTTCCCGTGCCTGCAGCGGCTATACAGTGTTTGAAAAGGAAGAGGTTATACGAACAACAAATTGAACAGCTGGGAAATTTCCAGCTGCGTATTCATGATCAAGTGAGCTTTTCCTTATCTATGCTCCTGTTTCCCGCACATTTTACAAGGCTCAGTGTTATTTGATGACTTACCACTCTTAAATACAATTTTTGTGGATCAGATGATTATGTTAGAAGGTGCCAAGGCAACGACAGAAACTGTAGATGCATTGAGGAGTGGAGCTTCTGCAATGAAGGCTATGCAGAAAGCAACGTAAGCTAATCGTATCTGCACCTACGTCTATGGAATTATTGTCCATGGAATTTTCAAAACTGCATAAACATTGCCATGAAACTCTTTCTATTTGCTCTTCATCATTGCTGGAGAGAACTGATATTTCTCCTGTCTGAGAAGAAGTACAATGTGTAAGCAGCATAAGGCTGGGATTATGGGTAAGCTGCTGCTTGTCGGTATTCTGAATCGGGTTTTGTTTGCAGAAACATTGATGATGTGGACAAGACCATGGATGAGATCAACGAGCAGACAGAGAACATGAAACAGATCCAAGAAGCATTGTCCACTCCAATCGGTGCTGCTGCTGATTTTGACGAGGTACCCTTCTCATAATTCTTTTGTCCGGTGGATATTTTCTTTTCGGATCATAAAAGAAACAAACTTTGAGAAATATTTTGGTCACCATGGCAGGATGAGCTAGAAGCAGAACTCGAAGAACTAGAAGGCGCCGAACTGGAAGAGCAACTTCTCCAGCCTGCCACGACTGCTCCTGCAGCCACGGTTCCCATGCCAGCTGGCAGGCAACCAGCTCGTCCGGCCGCCCAGAAGCAGCGGACAGACGAGGAGGATGAACTCGCAGCATTACAGGCTGAGATGGCCCTCTAAGGTGGACCACCCTTACTTCAATAAAACCGATGTGTCAATGGAGATGATTGAGGGCAATCTCAGATGTCACTGAACTCAGCTTTCTACTGTTTCCTTTGGTTAACTGCAGGTTTTTCCATGGGGAGCTTGTCACAGAGATGGAAGGGAACAGAGGATGTATATATAAGTACACGCGAGTCTATATTGGTGTGTTAGCGGCATCTAATATAAATTATGTTCTGTCGTGGATGTCATCATCTTCCATTTGTGTGGTACTTTTAGCTCTTTTTTGTTGTTGTTACTTTGTATCACGGTAATAAATAATGCTGTAATGAGATATGGATTTGCCGCTCCAAATGTACACGCCGTTTCGACCAGGTAAAACTGAACTTCATGTCGTTTTCCCACTCAGATCGTTGGAGCGCGGTGGTTAATGTGATATTCTATTATTACTGATTCAGTTTATTGTAGTTTTGTCCGTTTCTTTTCCCTAACCTCATGCAGATTACTGATCACGGGACCAACTAGATCACAAAGAGCTTAAACTTCGTATCGTATAAATACCACATCCTTACCGGATATTAATTAAAATATAATGTACCAACACATTTACATTCCCACTGGCACTGATGAACACGAGGGTGCCTTTCATCAACTAACGTGATGGTGAAAATCACCATAAACACACGCACAAAAAAAATCCTAAGCGACCAAATCATATCCACAGTATAACCCTTTAGTGCTTCCATAATATAACATCGTATATTTTAATTATTCTAACCTGGATCCGGGTCGACCCGACCCAGGCCTTTTCCTTCATATCATACAGTTCTCTTTGCTCAGTCTCTCGAACATCTTCGCTCGCAGTTCACGACCCGATTCAACCCTCTCCATCGCGGGTTCTTCGGTCATGCCCTTGTTCCATTTATCCATATACCCAATCCCAGGCCGGGTCGGGGTCGTGGGTAGGCTCCAAAACCCGAGTCCCACAACCGGATCACGTGGTGACCCGAGGCCGGACGGGTAACAACGCACCTGCGTGTTCCAAGACGAGGGAAGAGACTTTACCTTGTTCAGCTGCAAGTTCCTCAGAGACGCAACGACGTCGTTCACCGAGCTCGACCCGGAAGAACGGCTCAGTAACTGAGTCGATTCCGAGTCGGCACGAGGACTCACCGACGGAGAGCTCGATGCCGGCGACAGCGAGAACTGAAACGCCCTCGAGCAGGAGTGGCGGATCGGCGGCGACGACGACCCATCAAAGGAATCAACTCGATCCGGGCTCTGCTGCGGCACAATCCGAAGATGGTCCAGCGAGTGAGCGAAGAAGCACACGCGCCGGCGGCAGTTTCCGCTGTCCTTGCATGGCTGAGTCCGGTAACGATCCGGGTGAAGCCAACACTCGAAGACTCCATGTGCGAACTCGCAGGAGTCACCTTTCCTACAACCTCCTTTCCGGAAGTCCGGGCATGCCATCCCGGAGTAATGGTACTTCCTCGGGTCTCTCCGGCGAGCTTTCTCGCCGGGATGAGCGTACGGACACTCGGTCCAATCATGATTCCGACCATGCGCACAGGGACGAACCTTGAACTCGTACATGCGAAAATGGTCACAGGAATAGACGTCAACGGGAGAATCGGGACCCGGAAAATCCGTGTCGGATTCCGGACTCAGTTCGTTCGACGGTAGATAACGCTGTAGTGCCCTCAAAGCTTCAAGCACGTTCCCGCCAGAGTTTCCGATCGCCGGGGAATACATCTCCGCCGCAACGTGGTCTTCAGGAATCGGCCATGGATGAACATGAACCCTCGGATGAGGTCGGTGAGTTTCTCCAATCATCATTTTTTCCCGGCGAACTCACACGCGTCGATTTTCTCCTTTCTCGGGAGGTAGGTTTGTGCCTGCCAAATAACCGGCAAAGCTGTGCGTGATTATATATAAGCTGATGGAGAGTGGTGGGGTTAGTTTTTAACCATGGTTAGGTTAAACTGTAGTTTGCTTCTCTGCGACGTGTCTGTGAGGTTTGCATTCAAAACAGCGGCGTGAGACTCATCCACGCGGTGGGTTACAGTGACGTGGCTATAGGTTACTCGACTTTGAAAGAATTACAGTAACAGCGCCGTGACTGAATTATTTCTAAACAAGACATATAGATTCACTTTTGTATCGCCCCTTGTGTTCCGAAAGCGGTGGAACCTTGGAATAGATACGCTTGGCGAGACGACAAAACACATCATCCCAACTTTTATTATTTTATCCTTTTTTATATTCGCATAACTAATCCGAACACAGAATCGTGGGTTTAAAAAAACATGTAGATCATAGTTTCACGAACAAATTATGATTTTAAAACAAACAAATTGAGAATTGAAATTCACTATTTTTCTTTTTCAATGTTTATTATTACAATTATTATTATATTACAATAAAATAATTACATTACTATAGACAAGTTTCTTTATTGTAAAATGAAAGGGGATAAATAAGTGTCGGACATGTTGGAACAATTTTGTGTGTGATAACTTTGAGAGGCATTAAAGAGACACTTATTAAGCTTCTTTACTAATTTCAGAAGCAATTCCATATCCATATTTTTCTTCTTGAGTATTGCATTTGCTTATATATATATATATATACACAGATGCATGTACGTATATATGCGTGAGTATGTTGTGCATATGATAAGAATGCCACCTCTGAAGGAAGCATCTCCCATGAGGGATCATGCTCCATGCATGACCGACCATTACAACTCGAAATCTTGTACGAATCATAAACCATTTTTTATTTTCTCATGGCAACTGCATGATGGACCGATGTAAAATGCATTTGTTATTTACATAAATAGTAGCTGGGCTTTTTTAATCAGAATGTATTCACTATTACATCGGTTCCCATTAACTGAATGAGAAGAAAGGTTATATGCCATATGGTTATGAAAATAATACATGCACAATTGCAAAGTAATTAAATGCTGCAATAGTCAATGTTTAATTATATATAAATATAGATTATGAGCAAATGTTTAAGGATTTTTTCCTATATAATATCTACGGGGCAGCCTATCACGTGATCTGTTTTTCAAGGCACGGGATATTAGCCTCATTTCAGGACACGTGTCGTATATCGGAAACGCATAGATCCGTTTGTGTTGCTTTTCCATTTTCACTTCCCGACAAAAAGATTACGAAGATTACATACTGACATAATAACTAATAAGTAAAAAATAAAAAAAAAAATACTAAGAAAAAAATTAAAGAGAGAATATCTGGGAAAATCGTACGGAATATCCACGTGTCGTCAGACTCGTCACTCTTTCGGCCTTTGACAATCGACCTGTCTTTGTCTTGGTGACACGCCACGACATGGATGCATGAGTCGCAGCGATCTCGACACGTCTTCCGCTCAAAACCTCTGATTCAGCTGGAAGCTTTGACCAGCCTAGAGCCTCTACGAGGGCCAGAGTCTTTGCTCCCCAACTTAAGAACATTTTCAGAAACATTACAGCAAATTGCAAGCTTGGAATGGTTTTATTCTTTACATAGTCCAATCCTCCAATGAGTCACTAACCCTTTCCCCTAATGACAAAAAAAAAAAAACAGTTACAAACTTAGACAACATCTTCAAGCTTCAGAAAGAACCATCTCCTGAAACATGAATGTTCGCTTTCAGACAGAGTTGTTCACAATTTCTCCTTGGTCCAGGCATTGACCATTCCCCAGCAACTGGGTCGACATTGATTCTCCTGTATCCTCTTTCTTCTCCACCAAAACATCCTTGTGACTCACGAAACTCGGTTGGTGAGTCGAAGACAGAAGCCTCGCCCACATTCTGTCTGTGATCACTACCTTGTTCTGTTTTTCAGTGATCCTCTGCGCAAAAGCCAAGAAGAAACCCCCTCAAAACGTGTTAAAGATGAATTATTGTCCTTGAACCAAGAACAAGAACAGGTTTCCAGCAGAGTCTAGATCAAGAGCCCATCTCGGCGTTAGCACAAAACTCTGTAGCTGAGAATGCAGGCAGGCTGAGAGACTTACATCGAAGGGAATGTAAGTATGTCTGCCATTGACGAGACCAACGGTGAAGCCAGTGTACCCGGCCATGGCGCCATGAACAGCGCTTTGAGCTAGAAGCGTGCAGTATACGTTATCTGATGCGTTGCTAGGAATAGCTCGGATCATGTACGTTGGATCTGAAGCCGAAAACAAGCACATCATACACACTATACAGTTCCTCAGCCAAGCTTTAATCAAGACCCAGATTAGATTATACCTATGTATTTGAGGCTTATGGTCATCTTCTTGGCAAAATGATCCTGCAGAAGAATCAGAAGAAGAGCAAGAACACGTCTCAGCCATTGTCAAGAAGCTACTCTCACATAAAAGAAATGGTGAGACAGGGCACCTTGATCCGTTGTGATATCCACAGGCCGATGTCTTGTAGAAGTTTATTACCAGAAGCATCCTTGAGAGTCATGGACTGTATGCTCTCAGACAACAGCTCCTGTCCCGCCCCTTCTGCAATCACGATTACCATGTGACCATTCTCCTTGAGCCGTTTCTCGATGAATTCAAAGAGCCCGCCTTTGCCTTCAAGGTAAAAAGGCGATTCTGGGATCAAGCAACAGTCCACATCTCGGCTGGCTAGAGTAGCATACATTGCAATGAAACCTGCAAAAAGCTTATTGTTCAAACCCGATAATCTCATCCTATACCGGGTATAAGTAGTATTAGTTTAATATTAGCTTACCGCTATACCGTCCCATTAACTTCACGAGGCCTATGCCGTTCTCAGTACTTGTAGCTTCGACATGGGCTGCATTGATAGCACGTTGAGCCTCTTCAACAGCCGTGTCAAACCCGAAAGATCTATCAATAACCTATTAAGAAAGGACACCATGTCATCTTTCTCAACATCCATAATGAATCAGAAACTATCCAGAAATCCAGGTCAGGGATAAGATTTACAGGAATGTCGTTATCAATCGTTTTCGGGATTCCAGCAACAGCAACTTTCAGTCCACGCCTCCTGATTTCCTGCAGAGGAAGTAATTGAAAGAAATATAAAAAAACGGGTTTAACCATCTCATAACCAAGACAAGGAACTGATCATATGGGTGACAAAGCACCTGGAATATAACAGCTGCACCTTTCTGGGTTCCATCTCCACCAATTATGTAAACCTGGTGAAAATGGTAAAAACCCAAATCAGAAACAGCAACTCGTTGTCATCTCATCTCAATGGTTTCACATTTCTATACTTTAGGATCCACAGATTCTAAGAAAGATTATGCAATTTTCAAGAACCTGGTTAATCCCGCGATCTTGAATGCTGTCAACGATCTTGGTGGTATCATGACCACCTCTAGAAGTACCGAGGACCGTGCCTCCACGTTTGTGGATATCGTTCACAACTTTCGGGTCCAGAGGGATTGTGTTTTTCGCATAAAATCCCCTGTAACCTCCCTGAAACACGATTATTCCCATAGAAACATGAACCCCGGAAGGAAACTCTGTAACATTGAGCAATGCAAAGGATAATGCTAGAGGTGGAGGTTTCACATCAATGGCTTACATCTATTCCAAGGATCCTTGTTACACCGTACATGTAAGATAAGCCACAGACTATTTCTCTGATAACGGTATTGAGCCCCGGACACAGGCCACCACACGTGACAATGCAAGCAAGAACATCATCCGCCGCAAAATATACCTTCAAATAATCGATTCCGTCATAAGGATTCAATGACGTATAGGGGATAAAAAGACGGAAATACCTTTTGCCGAGGCCCAGCACGCCGGAAATGCGTTCCTCTAGGAGTTTCAGGATGAACAACTATCTGCAAGACCATTCATGCTAATCTCATACGATGTAATTTACAACCCTCGAGTTCAAATGCAAGATTTAAAGTAAACCAATTCCTTTTTGAAGATGTGAAAGGAGAGAATTTACTGACCTTTTCAGGGATCGTATCATCCTCATCGACGAAATATTGCCTGAAATACATAGAAAACGACGAGAAACTCTAAATTACAAGCTTATCAATCAGCAAAAGCCTAAGCATTTCAGAATAAGATAAGCCATATTGATTCCACTACAGAGAAAAGTTTCCGACTTGGACATAAAAATGAGTTCTTGGATTAAGTAACGCGCCCACTTACCTGACAACAGAGTATGAAGGATTGTCTTGCAATGGATTTGGATATGTCTGAAACACCACACGACACAATAATCAATGAATCAAGAAGAAATCGTGGCATTTTCCCGGAAATGCCTCCGAATCGCTGGCAATTTCCCGGAAACCAAACAGGGGGATCGATCAGAAGTAAGATATTATACAAACAGAAGACAGAGAAATCATTCGTACAGGAAGATTCGGGATGTAATCGGACAAATGTGGGACATCTTCCAGGACGTAACCAGCGGGGCCATTAATGATCTTCCTGTCGGAATTTCCGGCAGACGCCATAACCAACCTTGTCGGAGATCCGATTCTCTTCTTACCCGAACCCGAAATGATCAGACGCAGACCCGAATCAAAGCTCAAAGACCGATACTTTCTACTGATGAGAGGGATCCGACAACCCAAATGATGATCCGACAAGGGAGATTTCAGAGGGGCGATCCGTGCTGATGATGACCGGAAACTAGACGAATCCATGCAAAGAAAGATTGAAGAAAGTTATTACCCATTTTTATGCCAAACAACCCAAAAGGCAATGGAGGGTTTGACTTGAACTTTTCCAAAAAATGCAAAAAAAAAATAAAATAAAATGCGCACCTTCAACAAAAATTGGAAATCAATTAGAAGAGGAAACCGGAAGAAACAGGAACAGGGAAGAAGAAGATCCGTTTATGGGTTCTGGATGAACTGGAAGTAAACAAGTGGCGAAACCTTTGTGTGTTTGATCTCTTGCTTTATGCTCCGAAGATTCAAGACTTGTTTCTGATAAGAAATGTCTGTGATTGAGTGGAGAGAGTAGACCCTTCATATCATTGAAGTCCTTTTCTCTATTTTAATACAGATCTGGGCAGTTAAGTGATAATTATAGTCAAGATTGCATTGGATTGATCTGAGAAAACAAACTTTATTTAAAATTTTGATTACTCTAAATAAATTTTTTCATATATTGAAATTTTAAACCTCTTATAAATTAAATAAAAATATATAAAATATTTATTTTATTACTTTCAACTTAAAATATATTATACTAATATGAATGAATTCTTATTGTAATATGTAGTTTGAAATGAAGAAATGATAATATATTAAATATTTAATATTTTGTTGAATATTTATAATATTTTTATAAATATTTAGATTTATTTGCATTCCGTAGCAATTATGTTTTTGGAATTTTTTTATTAAAACTCATCTGTTTCATAAGAGTATTATATTATTATATTTTTTTACAAATTAATATTTATATATAGCTAGATGGAGTGTCAAACAATTTTCTAAATTTCTTAAATCAATGTTATTTTGAATGTTCGTTATTATTGACCGTTAATTTAATCTTATGTTAATCTGGGTAACAAGAGTACCACTACTAACAACATCACATCAATAAAATATGCCCCATCGCTCATGTTACCAAAATTTTCCAAAAAAATAAAAAATATATATACATGTACACATACACATATATGTACATATATACACATACATATATATACACAAATACACATATACACATACATATATATACACTTACATATATGTATACACGCGCATATGTATGTGTATATATATATACATAAGCATGCATAACAAAAATTTTAGTTTTTAGATAGTTGAGATTTAAATGAATGTTTATCGAATATTAAAAATTTTATATTTTTAATATTAATAACTTATTTGAATTTATAGGTGATTAAGATTTTAAAAACGATCATTAAAAATTATGAATTTCGGCATGCAATATGCAGGGATCCACTGAGCATGCCATGTATAACCCGTTTTCTGTTTTTCGTTTAATACATTTCAATATAAAAATCATGGGATATATATATAGTAAAAATATTGGATCCATTTTTCAGACAATAATATAAAAGGTTTTCTTTATTTCAAAATGATATTTTTCCGTAGAAAAAATTGATTTTAAGGTTGTTGTATATATATGGTTTTTTATTCTGTTAATTTCGGTTAACGATTAAATTGTTATTATGATGTATCAAATTCTATATATAATATTTTCAATGAAATACTCATATAATACTCATGTTTTATAATTAATATGAGGCTGATGAAACAAATTTACTAACTAAAGAGGTGTGTCTATGTACAATTGTTGTATTGAAATTTTGCCAGAGTCTTGTAAGCTTATGTATGTGACGGTGTCTCACGCCATCTATGTATCAATTAGAAAGAAAAAAAAAGGGTCTCACGTATATCTCTATTTAGAAAAGAATAATAGATTAACTATTTATTTAACTAGAATATATATAAATAACAAAGAAATAACAAGGTGTATGGCGACACTATACATAATATTAAGACTTATTTGATTAATTGAAGTGTGGGACGAATTGTCAAATGATCTGCCATTTGGAATATTCTTAATTTTTATCTTTTAAGTGCTTGGAAAAGCATATTCTTGGCATCAAGGACGACGGATATATATATATTGTCATGGTCTTGGAATATGCTACATATATATATATATATTAAAATTATTAGTAGAATTGGCCCATTTTGGGTCGGCTCGATATTTTCACAAGGCTTTTCGACAAACGATGGTTTCCTCCAAACATAAATATATGGGCCCGGCCTATCTAATTCATAAGCCTAACCTTTAGAGCCCATTAATTATATATATATATATATATATATATTACATATGATGCATATGGATGTGTGTGTGGGTGTATATCATGGATCGGGCAACTAGCTATTATTTTTGTTTCTCCTTTGTCAAATGACAAACATAGAACGAACGAATTGGGCAATTAGGTGTTATTTTTATTTTTATTTAAAACCGGTCAAAAAATTATTAGATGCAGATGTTTTTTATATTTAAATTAATATTTTACAAAGGATGGAGAAAATTGTAGAAAAGCAACAACAACGGTGATGATGATGATGATACCTTTAGACAGAGGAGCAACCATGGGCATCTCTATATGTTCATACGGACATGTCTTTGGTCCCTCCATGATGTCATCGTTTGACTGTCCAAAATTTCGGAATTTCATATTTAATATATATATATACACACATGTATATATTCTCCTTTTTTTTCAATTAATTGTGATTTTTCCTGTCGTTGGACTTCGATTTGTTTTGTCTCATCTTAATCTAAACTTACTTTACAACTGTTTACCGTTTACGAGGAAATATTAATATTTATTATGCTTATATAATATCAACATCTTTCCAAGTTTGGTAAGAAGTCTTCATATACTTATTATTAGTTTATGTATAGATGGCTTTCATCGGTTTATGTTTGGTTATTATGAATCATTTCGGTTTAGAAGTGTGATAATTGGATTTGTATTTAATTTTCGGTTTACTTGTGAATCGTTATTTTATTTTATTTTTTTTATAACTTAGGAATCTGCAACCAGTGCGGTAAACCTGTTAAAGGTTTAGCTCTCAAATTCATTATTTTATTATTCAATTTTTTTTAAAGTTGTATACTATATGGAATACAAAGAAAATTTTCTCATTATATTTCTTCATTTTCTCACTCATTCTATTTATTTAATATTATATTAAATTTATAAGGCAACATATTTCACAAGGGACAAGAAAGTACAATGTAACGTTCCATCTCATAACGTGATAGTTTTGTAACAAAATATGTGTATTCGAGTGATGATAGTAAGCTATTTTATTATAATAAGATATATTCCATAACGATAAAAAAATATATTCTTTATAATTAAATAATTGAATTACGTGTATTAACGAGAAATCTTGCAGATTAGATATTGAAACCATACGTAATCTGATCAAAGAAGGGTTACAAGGTCTAAAACTCTAATGAAAAGATCTTAAACATTGACCGACAGGTTTTGTGGGGGCCACACAATCCTCTTATCGTACAGAATACGAACTGTTTGAGTGTAATTAACAAAAACCAATTAATTATTTAACTAATAATTAAATAAAACAGCGTGTCCGCAAATCAAGAAAGATTATAGTCGAAGAAGTTTTCCGGTCCAACGTCCCTTTTCAGATTATAATTATATTATTAGATATCCTTTATCCCGACATTCCTAATTTAGTTTTGGAGACTCTTAAACTAATTATATTTAATCAGATATCAACTTTGATAAAAAAGAAAAAATCACATTGAAAAATATCTATTCATAATACTATATGTAAAATCCAAAAAAAAATATGCTATGAAATTTCGTTTTCGTCTATATCAATAAAAGTTATTAATCATATATCTTTTAAGATATAGTCCCATCTTGCTTCTTTACCATAAAAGAATTTACAAATTACAACTAGGAGTGGACATTTTGGATTTCACTTCGGGTTCACTTCGATTATATTCGGGTTCGGTTATTTCGATTATAAAAAAATATAACCATTTGGTTTTTATATAAACTTCGGTTCAATTCGGTTCGGATTAGTTTTTCAAAGAAATTAACGGTTTTTTCGGTTAGTTTTTTAATCGGTCCGATTTAGTTTGGTTTTGATTTTTTCGTGATTAAAAAATCATAAGCGTTCAATTTTTATATCGGATTCAATTCGGTTACGGTTATATCTTATTCGGTTCGATTCGATTCGATTATTTGGTTAATAACAGTAATGGTCATCCCTAGTTACAACTACAATAAAGAAAAGAAAAGGGTTATAGTTGATATTAATAAATATTTATTATCATATCTTTTGATTATGGAAAATACTTTAGACAATTTTATTCACAGCTATTGATATATAAAAGAGGGTAGATATTAATTCTGCCTAATCTTGATGTGTGCTAAACAAAAGAGTATATATGTATGTATATGTGTGAAATACAACAATACATACGGTGTGTATATAAATATAAAACGTATATAAGAGGGTTGGTGGGGTCCATATGATATATGATGAGGACTGCTCAAGTTGCCTTACTAATCAAGCAACCTCTTAATTTCTTTCTCTCTCAAAGGAAGGAGGAGAGGGAAAGAAAAACATATTGAATACCAAAAGAATCATGAAATCACCTCTCCAGCTCGATACCCATGTGAGTTCTTATCATCTTTTTTTTTTCCCCTCCTCCTTTTTCTTTATATCGCTCTGAACAATGTTTCTTAATCTTGTTTATAATATACTCTACGCTAATATATTGTATAAATCAAAGTATTCATTTAATTATTGGTTTGGGATAATGTATTTACGTCTGCATATTATAAACACCGATATTTAAAAAAAATCAACAAGTAATGATACATATGTAAAGCAAAATTCAAATTACTCGAGTGTGTGTGTGTGTGTGTGTATCAACGTCTGCATTTATGTGTTATTTAAAGTATTTATGAATCGTCTAGAAATTTAAACTTCTGTCTATACATATATTTAATGCCTTAATTTTAGTTTATCAAAAAAAAATTACATGCATATGTTATAAGGAATATAATAGGTATTCTATCGAAAAAGAAAAGGAAAAGAAAAGTAAAAAAAATGTAGAAGGTATGTCCCACCTGCATAGTATACGGATCCACATGCATACATACACGTATATCTCAATGTATGCATAGAAGGTTTTCCATATACATACGCATACACTGACCACAAACGTACATATATACAGGGACGTACACATACAAGTGTGCGCATATCTACGCATTTGCAGCTACAAGTGTATATAACAAAGTAAGGGTTTTAATATATTTTTCTATGTGATATATATATATATATATATGGAAATAACATAATATAATAAATATTATAATTTACAATTTTGTGAGTGAGGCAGAAACCGCCTCAGAGAGACACAGCGGCTTCTTAAATCAGCAAAGGCACACAGGCGGTCAGTGGATGGTTTCAGGCTCACCTTTTCCTTTTTCTCTCTCGCTTCTTCAGTTAAAGTTGAGAGAGAGAGAGAGAGAGAGAGAGAGAGATTTAGCATTCCAAAATCCTATGTTTATTAATTTATAGCTTCACATCCAACTCTTGCCGTCTCTTCTTCTTCCTTCTTCTTCTTTGTCTGGTTCTTGATTTGCACTCCCTCTCTTTCTGGTCCTCTGTTTCCTGATTTCAGTGTGTCTGAGATTTATTGACAGATCAAGTTTGTTCTTTTAGCATATTTTGAGGCTTATTCTCGAAACCCAACAATTCTCTTTCTTCTTACATGTCTTGTTATTGTCTCTTTTAGATATTTCAAACCCCTCTTTTGTCTTTGTCTCATCAAATGGTTTCTGTCATGTAGAGAGAGAGAGAGAGAGAGAGGTTAGTTTCGAAATCTCGACAGGATATGATCAGAAGAAGCGCTTTATTATCTCCACAGTACCAACAAGAAGACCGAAATCGAGACCACGATCTCATCTAGCGCACGGGATAACATAAACAGACAAATATCTTTCAGAAATCAACAAGAAATTGGGGGTTCGATCGATCATGAACAAGAGCAATCCGGGTCCGGTCACCGGGTCGGATCTCGATGCCAAGATCGAAGAACACCAGCTTTGTGGATCCAAGAAGTGCCCTAGTTGCGGCCACAAGCTCGATGGCAAACCGGTAATATTCTTTCTTATTATTTTCTTTCATTTTTTTTTTAAATTGAGTTTTACTTTCTTTTTAAATTTGTTTTAGGTCACTAAGAAAACATTTTTTAAAAGAAGAATAAAAGAATCAATGGAGAACATCAAGAATGATGCCCGATGTTTTATTCTCTCGCGAAGCTGGAATTCAAATCCAGTTCTAAAAGCGTCTATATACGCGTGTGTATATATTTATGTATATACGTGCTTACATGTGTTCCCTTTTCCGGTTTATATTCCTCTCCTTTTTTCCTTAATCTCTGCTTCTTTTATTAATTATCCTTTATTTTTATTTTCTGGATCAATTTGAAACGTATGATGATAAGGATTGGGTTGGTTTACCGGCTGGGGTGAAATTTGACCCGACGGATCAAGAACTGATAGAACATCTCGGAGCCAAAGTCTTGGCTAAAGACACGAAGTCCCACCCTCTCATTGACGAATTCATCCCCACCATTGAAGGCGAAGACGGCATTTGTTACACCCATCCCGAGAAACTCCCCGGTACACATATATACACACACTCACACACGCATATGTATGTATATATGTCATCACGTTCTTCGACCATCCATGCAGTCCATGCTTAATTAAATGGATAGGCTAAAGGCACTAAACAGGCACAAAATATCACATGCTTGTATCTTTTATTAATATATAATATCATATGGAGTTTATGGAAAACATTGGGTCATACCAAAGTTTGAATCTTTTTTATTTTTTGGGTAGACAAGAAACTAAAAAAGATGTGTCCTTTTTCTTCTTATTCTGGGTTTTATTTGGTAGGAGTGACGAGAGACGGGTTGAGCAGACATTTCTTCCACAGGCCGTCAAAGGCGTACACAACGGGGACAAGAAAACGGAGAAAGATCCAAAACGAATGCGACATACAAGGATCGGGAGAGACAAGGTGGCACAAGACTGGCAAGACAAGACCGGTCATGATTAACGGCAAGCAAAAGGGTTGTAAGAAGATCTTGGTTCTCTACACCAACTTTGGAAAAAACCGGAAACCCGAGAAGACCAACTGGGTGATGCATCAGTACCATCTAGGGACACACGAGGAAGAGAGAGAAGGAGAGCTCGTCGTGTCAAAGATCTTCTACCAAACGCAGCCTAGACAATGCAACTGGTCGTCGGAGAAAAGCTTGAACGTCGCCGGAGAAGGAAGCAGCACCGAACATGCCGGCGCTACTGCCATAAGGAGAGATCACAGTGGAACTAGTGGAAGTTGTTCTTCTAGGGAGGTTGTTACTGTTAATCCTCAGATGGGTCGGTCCGCTGAAATCGCTACACCTCATCATGTTGCCACGGCTGCTGCTGGCCTTCCCAGTTACTCCATGGATCAACTCGGCTTTGTCCCCTTTAGGAAGAGTTTTGACGAGGTATGTGTCACTAATCTCTTTTATTTTTGTATATTCCTTCCGTTTGATATCTATTCTCATGATACAAAACGACGAAATAACTGTTCAGATCATGTTTAGGGGATCTCTAACAGTTGTAAAATATTTTTTTACCTTGGGATAAATTGGGTTCGAATCCATTTAACTTGTCTGTTGCCATGTCTCTCACATGGGGTAAAAGTGAAAACGACTAGGAACCGTCGTGAAGAAGATGGCGAGGGGTTACTTTTGGATATTCTCTTGGCTCGCATTACACGAAATGAGAACTATTCTATCCCCTTTTAATTTGGTCCTTTCTTGATTATCATTTTTTAACTAACGATATGGCATAGTTTTACCCGAAAAATAATAAATTTAGAAAACAATGTCCAAACCATATATGACTGAATGTGGATAAGGCAGAAGCGTTAGCAAGAAACTGCTAAATGTGGATGAACTTTTGGTGTTTTCAGGTGGGAAGGGAAGCCCCTACGCATGCCACTTGCGATGACGTGCCTGAGCAACATCATCATCATCATCATCATGGATCATCGTCATCGTCATCACATCACATTGCACATGATCATCATCAACATCAACATCGACATCAAGTAGTGGCCAGTGCTGCTGCTGCATTCCACATTAGCCAGCCTACTCATCCAGTAGTATCCACCATCATCTCTCCATCTTCTTCACTGCACCATACTTCCATCAACATCGTCGAGGAGAGTCCTTACCATATCCCTAGAATCTTGCTCTCGAATGAAACTTTTCAGGTAATATAGAGCTAGCAGACCGAATTTCTCCTCAATTCATGTCTGCAAAAAAAAAAATCTTAGATTAATATTATAACCGATTGGATAACCGAAGTTATTGTCTTACTTTATTGTGGTTTCCATATTAGGGTTTAAAAGGGTATTTGCATTTGCATGCATGTGGCTTGGTTAAGAAACTAATGATGAAGCTCCCACCACGAGCATGCAGAAAAAAAAAACAATAAAAAGACAAAAAAAGAACGGGTTATTACAAAGATCATGGTCCTGTTTAGGGGGAGAAAAAAAAATCAAATGATGACGCCTGGTCATGATTTTCAGAAACGTGACTAACCAACAAGCCAACAAAAGCTGGGGGCACTTTTAGTGTCAGCCAACCCGAGAACAAGTAGTAAACTGCTTGTCCTTTCTCATGAAGAGACAATATGATTTTTGGTTTGACAATGGATAATGTTTTGTTTTTTTCTTGAATCTAATATATATATATATATATATATATGCGATAATAATAAAAATTTGTTTTTTTTGTGTGTGTGTGTTATTGACCGAATTTTGGATTCAGACACAAGAAGAACATGATCAGCAGCAACATCATGGGAAGATGGGAGGGAGGTCAACGTCCGGATTGGAGGAACTCATAATGGGATGCTCTTCCTCTGCTTCTCATCATCATGTAAAAGATGTAAGTTCATTCATCATTCCTTTTTTTTTTTTACTCTGAATTTCATGAATTCCCCTTTTGCCTCCCCATTTTCAAAGAATTTTTTTTAAAAAAAAATAAATAAAAACTAAAATAAAAAGGCACTACAAAGGTATCTATTTTTTACGCATGGAAGTTTTGTGTTAATTTTATAAAACTAATATGAATTTTTCTGAAATTGTGAAAAGAAAGTGGCCTGTCTAAATTTTTATTTGAAATTGTAAGACAATTGTGTTAGTCTCACTATGAAAGTTAAAAACTCGGTCATTGGATTACACGCATTTTCAAAAAGATTCCAGAAATGATCTATCTTTTCTTGGTGAAAAAAAAATATCGATATTATTTATTATTTACGTACCGAATTTATTAGGGTTTCCAAATGGCTACTGAAACTGGTAATTTATACCGCATTTTTAGTCATATATTAATGTAGCGAAGTATCGTTTTGTAATTTTTTAGTACTAAACAATTTTTACATATATGGAAGATAAAATGCACCTTATTAAATGGATACATAAGTTATTAAAATATTGGGTATATATGAGTTTATAATTTGAATGAAAGTGGGGAATAAAATAAATTCCCTTTTTCTTTTTTTTTTCTTTTTTTTTTGTGTCTCTTTACTTAATGGGTGTAGCGAAGTATCGTTTTGTAATTTTTTAGTACTAAACAATTTTTACATATATGGAAGATAAAATGCACCTTATTAAATGGATACATAAGTTATTAAAATATTGGGTATATATGAGTTTATAATTTGAATGAAAGTGGGGAATAAAATAAATACCCTTTTTCTTTTTTTTTTCTTTTTTTTTTGTGTCTTTTTACTTAATGGGAAAGAGTTAAAACAGTGTTAAGAAAACAAAATCAGAAAGAAAAAAAAAGGAAGAAGAAGAAAGAGTGGTGTTGCTTTCATGATAGTCTGCTTTTTACAACTAAATTATTCTATTAGAAATTTTGTCAGATTCTTTTATTTTTCTTTTCTATTTAAATTTCTAAGACTTCGCGGTATTTTTTAAGTTTAATTTGACTGTAAGGAAAACCAAAAGAAAAGGAAGGGAAGTGAGAGAAAACTTCTTTTCCCCCATACATAGGGCTAGTCAAGAAGAGCATCCAAGAATATCTTACATGGATTTAAATAAAATACATTGAAATCTTAATATTCGATCTACAAATTAGTTTTCTTTAAAAAAATAGTTAACATATATAAATCTATATATATATATGCATGACTTTAGTTTGGGCACATGTCCTTATGAAGTGGGCGATGGTTTTCTTCGCTTTATAAGTTAAGAGAAGGGAATGATGGTATTGTATTGTATATTATATGATCTTTTTTCATGCGTAGTCCCTCGCGAGACATAAGTAGATTTCATTGCTTTTGTGTGGGGGAAAGCACGTCCAAGTTCTTTTTAATCCGTCAAAACCTCAATCGAATTCACAGAGATTCTCAATTATTTTAAAAATATCTATGATATGTGGTCATATATGCATGTATATAAATGCATATAATTGAGATGCATACTTTTCACTTTGTTTTAGCAGGACTCATCAATGGAAACCCCACAAGAAGCCGAGTGGTTGAAGTATTCGTCCTTTTGGCCGGCCCCGGACTCTGACAACCAAGATCATCATGGGTAGGTATGCCATTTTCAATCCATGACAACAAAACAAAAGTGAAAAAGATGTTGCATCATCATATATCATTGGCATGATGATGATGATCATTATCATCACTATATCATCCACGAAAATTGTGTCTTTTGGAAACGGGGGTTTGGAGAAATCATACGGCGATCCGGTCTATTATGGAATATCCCACACTCGCATCAATCTTGTCCGGTCGGGGAGAGAGAGAGAGAGAGAGAGAGAGAGAGAGAGAGAGAGAGAGAGGAAAGAGGAGAAAAAGAAGTATGGGAAAAGCTGTTTATATTCCTATAGACAAAGTGGAAGGGAGAACCAAAGAAGCTCAAAGCCATCCCAACATCTTTGCATGAAAATTATCAACAGTACCTTATATAATTAGATATATAATATACATATATGTATATGCGTATACATCACCTTTGTACTCACGAATATTACAATTAAGCAATTCTTTTCTTCATTGCGTCGAGTTGTTTTCATGTCTGAAGTATAATTCCTTTGATTTGCATATTTTACACATCATCTTGTTGTCGGTTATAATAGATGTTAAAGATTTAATCTTTTTTACTACTATCTTTCGCTACTTTTCTCCCGCTTTTTTTTTATTTGCTTTTTGGATGAATAGTAATTATGTTCTTCTTTAGCACTTGGGTCTGCATGAAAACCCTAATTATTCCAATAATTCCTTTCTTCTAACGACGTATGATGTCATTTAAACATGTTTTTGAAAAATGGTGATAAAATATCATTGATTTATGATGTAAATCATCAAAATTTAATGTATGATCTCTAACAAATGCAAGTCATGCTTATGATTTGCACTAGCCACCATAAATAATAATAATAATAAAGTAATCGTTTCTCTACCACAAGTCAATCGACATATAATGTATTTACTCTTCGGCGTTTGAAATGTTGGAATCAAATAAAAAGTAAACATTTTTCTAGTTTTGCAAATATACAATATGTATATATATGTAAGAGATACATAAATTAAATTGGAAGTGGGTGTTGGTTGGTTTGAAGCAACGGAGGAGGGAAGCGACCGAAGTTTGGTTCGTGTTCGGTCAGATTTGAATTGAAATTTTTGTTGAATATGGAATAATGGAATCTATACCAACAGAATAAGCAGTAACGTCACCTAGCAAAACCACTGTCTACTGTTCTTTTTTTTTTTTGCTCGGTCTCTTTGGTTTTTTGTCCATACTCATGTGTGTGTGTGTATATATATTCCACTTTCTTTTGGCATCACCAAAAGAGCTCTTAACCCATCTATTATTTGTTACAATTTAAAGATATATATGTAAAATGTTTTTGAAATCTTTCATGTACTAGTATGTGTATATACATATATATATATATATAATATTTTCACAAATTTGCCTTTACCAAATGAATGTTAAAGGTTGAAATGAGAGAGAGAGAGTAAATGTTTGAGTTCATGGGACATTGGGGGAGAGGGTACTAAAGCAAAATCAACATGGGGGAGAGATGAGAGCTTTTGCACGGTAGGTTCTGAAAATAATCGAATAAAGGAGCAAACAGACAAGAGCCACCTTTACTTCTTATATATTTATTTGCTTTCTCTCTTTTATAAATCTAACCTTCCATTAAATAATTTTAAACTCGTATTTCCTCGAAATCTCTCTAACCACATCCCCTTGTTTATTACCATTATTATTTTTAATATTTATTATATGTATTTTGTTGGTATACATATTACTACTTTTGTATGAACATATGATATTGGAAGGAGAATTTCACTTGCATTGGATTCTTAGAACGTACGAAATCATTTAAACTATACATTATAATTATGGAGATTTTCTCGACAAGAAAATCTCATATATAAAACAAAATTAAGATTCCTCATCGTTTTCATGTTTTTTTTTTTATAAAATCAATTCATTTTGCATAAAATAGAAATCCACTAGCACTTATTTTTTTCTATATGTATAAACCAATTCAAAAAGCAGCTCCACCTAGATGAGCAATATATTGTAAAAATCACCATAAATGATATGGAAGAAATATATTCCATGGCTCTACGGACACCCAAAGAGCAACCTCTTTCAAACTCGAGAATCAATCGTTAATATATAAGCCCTTCGATTATACGTCTATATATATATATATATATATACATTCAAAATTGTGTCTCGTCATATGATAAAACAAATTCGAGACCATGGAATTATGCAAACTATGGTATATTATTGAGGATTAATTTGATTAGCAATAAGGTCTTTCGTCGGGTCGTGAAATAAAATTTTATTGCATTCTCTTAACATTTTACATCGCTAAAGGGGGCCCACGTCTCTAAGCCCAAGACTGATTTGCTTTCTGGGCTTTGGAAAGGTCCAAACATACGACACATCCAAGTTATACACGCTCGGCCTCATAATGGTTCAATTATCATATTATCAGTTTGGCCCAATATTTACAAGAACAGCTTGCTGCAATGGAAAAAAGTGCTTACTTTAATTTCAGGCTAAGGAAGAATATTCACAAAGCATTTTAATTTTGATGTATTTAGATAATTTAATAGTAAAATTGACAAAAAATCTATACTATGATACACAATATCAAACATGGACATATAGAATACCAGAAATGTATTCGGATTATAATCTAATTATCACTATAAAAAATCCAAAATAAAAATTTAAATGAAAATGCTCATCATCATATACATATATATAATTTATTATACCATTTACCATAAAAACAGGGAAAGAATGAAAATAAATGAATAAATACAAACAACACTAGACCGTTGTCTGTACAATTTTCTCATCGAAATCAAAACCCTCAACGTATTAACAAACCAATCAACGAATTACCTGAAATGGGGGGAAAAAAAAGCACAATCCAAAAACCGAAATCATCCTGAAACATAGTCAGTCATAACCGGTCGGTATAAGTTCTTGTCTCCGTCATGGGTTCTTGGTGTTCAAGAAAGAGAGCAGTGTTCATCGTGGCAAAGCTCTTTCCTGAGTTTGCGAGAGAAGAGCTGACAAGCGTCCATGCTGAGGTCAACGGCTGCGGACAGAGCCACGAACAGAGCAGCGTCGGCCATGCACGTCACGTGCTGAGCTCCCACCTCTACTACCGGCTTGCTCACTTTCCCTTCCCCTTCCACGCTCGATCCCATCACGAACCCTTTCACCGGCGATGATCTTTGTATCTCTCTCGTCAGTTTGCTGTCTATGCTGAACTTTCCTCCTCTCTTCACGCTCATTGTTCCTGTTTAGGGTTTGGTCGTGCTGAGATTTGGGATCGCATATGGAACAAGACAAGATTATATGTGATGGTTACCTTCTGCAATTGGGATGCGAGTGGTTGTAGTGTTGTCTCGTACAAGCTCGAAACTGTAACCTAGGCCATCAATGGCACCTCGTTCGCGCCAAGCCTCGAGGCGGCCCCATGGCTTCCAGCTGCTGACTGAGTTACCGTGTGGCCTAAGGATCAGCCAGGCTCCTGGGTTAGAACGAGAGACACGGTCCGAGCCTGGTGAAGGTACAAAAGGAGTGATCATTGACGCTGCCGCTACAGGTGAGCCAGAGAGATCGTGGATCGTTATCATCCATCCTTTTCGCTCCTTTGCTTGTTTCTTCTCCCGAGTTTCTCCCGATAGTGTTCTCGTGATCCACCCTCGGCTGCTGTATGTGAAACCTGAGGGTAGAGATCTGCAAGAAAAAAGTACCAAAGCCTCATCACAAATCTGTAAACAGACTGATAGAACGCAGAGAAACTCCAACTACATACCACATTAATTTGGTGGTTTGGTTCTAAAATCAGAATCTTTGATTGCGATCCCATATCGAACGAGTAGATGGATTAGTAAGGTGCATGCCAAAGATCCAAACTTTTTGAGTAAATTCTTAATTAGCCAAACAGAGCAGTTCCAAAAAGACAGTTTAGTTCAGCAGCAGAAGAGATCATACTCAGAACTAATATGGTATACGGTGTTCATACTCAGATTGTTTATAATTATGGCGTAGATCAGTGAATTCAACTCAATACCAACTGACGATGAACTCAGAAACAAGAAACCCAAAATGTCGGCGAGAAGAATCTTACCGAGATCTTCCGTTACGGTCGGCGCTAAACTTGCAGCTAAACACAGGTTGTCTGATATTCCCCTGAATCTGGAAAACCACCGGACTACACTCCGGTTCGCCGCCGAATTGGAACACAAACCTGGGGTCAGGTTCGGCCTTAACCACCAGGTGAAGCCTCGCTGATGGTTTCTCCTTCTCTCCATCTCCGCCGAGCTTCTTCCATCCGCTGTGGAACACGACGGTTCTAGCGATCGCCGCTGCGAGATCCACGGCCACATCGACGCGTCCGAGGAGCTTCCCAGAGGCTACGCCGCACGTGCGGCCCATCCGACCGGCGTAGACCGACACGCGGAGGGGGATCTTCTTGCCGGATATCCTCCGGAGAGCTTCGGCGTCGAGGTGGAACCCCGGCGACGATGCGGCGGATTCCGGCGGAGAAGAGGAGGAGGAGAGTGGGAGAAGGGCTGTCTGGGAGGGAAAGTGCTTGATCCGGAGCTTGCAGTAGCACGGCGTCGCCGAAGGGTGTACTCCACCGCCGGATGGTTTGTTACTGGCCGTCTCCGGCAGCTTTAGCGCCAGAGAATCAACGGTGAGCCGTACAAATGGGCAAGGGTCCATCGCAACTCCGTCGATTTCTTCTTCTTCTTCTTCTTCTTCGAAATTTGGAATCTGTGAGTATGCAAGAGAGAGAGAGAGAGAGAGAGAGAGAGAGAGATTAGGGTGTGAAGAAGCAGGAATCAATTGATCTTCATGAACGAGGATGTGTCGTCGTCTTCGTCTTCTTCTTCTTCTGCTCCCTGGTTTCGTTTTTGTAGCAACATGGGAAGTGGGGCCCGGCTTCTGTAACTTTTTTTTTATAATATTGTATTTACTTTTCGCGGCAAATTCGGCTGCAAAATTAACAAATCATAAATGATAAAAAATTGTTTTAAGTTTTTTTTGAAGCACTAATGCTATCATGAGTCATTAATATGTTGGATATTTTATGATTATAAAAACCCTTATTTTTTAAAATTTAGTATTTTGGGCATTGAGTATTTTGAAATTTAATCTCTTCACGGTTACGGTAGTTTTTTTTTTCCAAATAGTTTCATTGTTTACTTGCAGTGAAATTTGTAACTTCAGCATATGATATCAAAATTTTAATCAATGTAAATGTATTTAAAAAAAAAAATAGATTCTTAGGATCCCAACATTTGAACAGTAAATTTTAGTTTTATTTATCAATTTAATGTATAACACATCTTTATGATACTTTTTAATAGTTATAAATGCATTTTGTTTTGGCACAATCATAAATTCAAAAAACAGAGCAGACGATAAGTTTGCATGAAGGCGTTCACGTGGGGCCCAAACCAGCTGTGCTTAGTTGTTAGTGGGGGCATTACAGTAATTTTGGCTCACTGGGCCTGAATTAAACAAACAAATAAATAAATAAAATGAGGTCCGTGAGGGTAACGGCGTGAGAGGAGGAGAGCGACGTGGCGTTCGCTGGCGTATTTGTCGTTTTCTGCTCGATCCCTTCGCCGCTTCGGATTCCTTTTGTTTCTTTGACGGCACTAACTGCTGGTTGGTACCATTTGACTGCATACACATATTAAAGGCATTATATCAAAAATACCCTTAAAATGCTACTTCAACTTCAACACCTATTCTTGTGACCATGTGACCATGTGATCAATATGACCGAAATATAGTGTGGTCACATATTGATCTTATTGTTCATAACGTTAAATTTATGATGTTTTAATCAAATGATTAGTAAGATATACAAGGTATGAACATAATGAATTAGTGTGATCACCATAAATTTAACGTTATAATCGATAAAAATCAAAATGTGACTATACTATATTTCGGTCACATTGGTCACATGTGACCAGGGTAGGTCTTGAAGTAGAAGTAGCATTTTAAGGGTATTTTTGATAATGCCCCTATTAAATAATATATTATCATACCTTTTTTTTTAATAAAATAGATTAACTGTTTTATTTATTGTGGTTTCATTTTTTATAATTACTTCAGAAAAAAACTCTTTCTGCTCAACTCTTGCAAAATTACGTTATTGAATTAGAGATCACTAATCAAAGTGAAAGCGTATTAAATCGACCAAATTAATCATACTGAATAATAATAAAAAAAACACGTAGATATCGAATTTACTATAGATTTTAGCAGATTGAATCGGGCTACATTTTCATGGTCTAATGTAAATTATAATTATCTATTTAGGGAAATTGTACCAACATGGGTTATATAACTGATGTATAACATTTTTCTCGTTTTTCCAAAAGATTCCAAGTTGAAGGTATATGCAGATGGATTCATCCACTTAGAATTTATAACAATGGAAATGAATTTTCGCAGCTTTTACTTCTCTAAGTCTAACTGCAAATAGTTTGGGTCATTAATTAATGGAGTGTGTTGGTTGACCATATAATGGGTTTTAAATCCCTTTATATAATTTAATATGCCATTTTCGTTGTATACTATGTTATGAATCTCCAAACACACGTTACAATGGATTATAGTTAATGTATATATACTGCGTGAAAATAAGTATAAATCATGTCTCTAATCGCATCTAAGATAACAATTTTAATAAAAATATATACATATAGGAGACTACAGTCATTTTCACCATATTAACCAAAGTTGCGAGTAGAGACGAATCTAAAGGTTTTTTTTTTAATAGATACACCGATATTAGAAAGAATGAACGTTTTTTTTTTTACGACGGAACCAACCAAATTATTACCGCAACACGTGAAAATTTTAAAAATAAATATTTATTTTTTACACCGGAAATACGTTGTCCTCTTAATTAATGTATCGGCTCATGGTTGCATATGTGTCATTATATTGCCAATACAATGCACGGGCAGCGCTGTATAGTGTGTATGCATTGTTAGTTTTCCCCATCTAAAAGCCTATATATGTATGTGTCTTATATTACCAAAAAATTGCAATGTTGCATTCAATCGAGTGATTATTGTCATATTTACCAAGTAGAACATAGATATATATATATATATATATATCTATGCATAATCATATCTATATATGGGAGCCCACGTCCACGTTGTGCATGAAAACCATGAGAGAAAAGTGCATGAGAAGCAACGAGTCTTATGTTGGAGCTTCAGAGAGAGAGAGAGAGAGAGAGAGAGAGAGAGAGAGAGAGAGAGAGAGAGAGAGAGATTGTTTGATCTCTAAGCAAAGAGACAGACCCACAAAAAAAAAAAGGGAAATGAAATGGGACATGAAGACACTTCATATGCATCGAGTGGATGTTTGCCAACTTCATAAGCTGTACGTATATCCTGTAAAAGACACTAAACAATATTTGCCAACTTGTATCTGCTCACTTTGCTTGATTTGCTACACTTTAAATATATGTATGTATATCTATATACATTGAACTTTGAATATATATATAGGCTGTTTGATTCATAAATAATGAAAAATAGTAGGGTTTTTTTTTGATCTAATAATATGTAAACCAGGGTAGAATATACTATTATCTAAATGTACATTATACGTCATTATCAGAGTAATTAATGTCGTAGGTTTGATTATACGAGAAGATTAATGATCGGAAAGGTTAATTAAGATAATGCACGATAGCAGGTTGACATTACTTAAAGTCATTGGTTTTTTTCAACTCTTTTAAGTTTACAGCTTTTTTGTTTTTAAAAGTACCTTAATTCGTATCCAAAAGGTTATCCAACTAATGCCTTAATCTGTATCCAAAAGTTAATTTGAAATCTCACATTCTTCAATATTATAGATTATATTATTTATACATAAAAAAGATAATCATGGAATAATTTATGTAATTAATATAAATATTTAAAACATGAATAATATAAAATATAAATATTACGATACCATTGTAATCTTTTTGAATATTTTTGTAGTTTCGTAATTTTTTAAAATATTTTTATATCTCTGTTATTATCAGTAGTAGTCCTGATATAATCATTAGAAAAATCTTCAAGGCATGACATAAGAGTAATGAGAACTATTTTTTTTTATAAGAGTTATGAGAATTTGATTGTAAAATTTACTCTGATGTAAATAAAATAGGTTTAATCTATGTTTAATCGGAGTAATAAACTTTTCATTAAAAAAATAGTTTATAAACTTCACAATTTTTTTCGTCCATGTATATATATATATATTAAACTTCGTTATGTTTTCGACGGAGTATCTCAATCACGTGTGTAGATAACAAATAGATTGTCTTTCCTTTTAAAATATTTGAACGGACATCAATCTTCTCTCTTATTGAACATTTTGTCGTCTTTTCTACTCTCTTTTCCCCCCTTTTCTATTATTATTATTTTTAATTTATTTGTTTAGTCTCTACTAATTAATGTATTTTGGTCGTCTATTTTATTATGGGTTATTGTGAAATCGTAATTCCGAACATGTTTACATTTGTTTTTAGATTATGTTACATATTTATCACAAAAAGATTTTGAAATATCCATATATAATAGATTATCTAGATTGAGGAATTTTGAGCAAATAGACTTACCAATACTTTAACAATATTTCGAATATTGTTAGAATTGTTTTATTCTAACTATACAGAATATAATAATTCCACGTTTAACAATTTATGCTAAGAAGTTTCGAGAAGTGTTATATATTTGTTATGCATTAACATTTTCTTTGAAAACTATTATGTACGGATTAATTTGTATTCGTTCCAATATATATATATATAATTGAGTATGTAATATATTATATCTATCACGATAAATATTTTTTTTATGAACGATGTTAACATATATGGAAAATAACATCTAAAGTCTCTGTCAATATCTATTTTGAAACAGGAGAATTGCAAAACATCATGTCACGTTATACGAAGGACTATTGTTTTTTTCCCCGACAATATACATGCGAATTGCAAAAACAAACTTTGGTCCACCATCTGCATTATCATCCCTTTTGGACTTTGCTGTTTTAGAAAAACTCTCTCTCTATATATACATATATATATATATGTATATGTGTGATAGATGTCTTTGTCTTTCTTTGGCCTTTTTTGGGGCTTTATCACCATCGGGTGGCTTTGCATGCATGTTCCTATATCACCATTGGCAAATTCCTTCGTAATGTCTCCATCTTAGGTCAAAACCCTTTCTCTAGTTTCACTTTTCCTCTTTTCACCTTTGTGTGTATATATATATATATATATTTGTATGTATGTATGTATCTGTAAACAATATATATGGTCCAAACACAAACCATATAATTGAGAAATATATAAAACTCTTGAATGTGGATTAGAATAAAACATGTGGCTATATATATGCTTCCAAACAAACCAACAAAAGAGAAACATTGGAACGAACTTTTTTTTTTTTTTTGGTAAAGCATTAGAACGGACTTATTCAATTGATTATTAAAGCAATTAATAAAATGTCACAAAATCTTACAACAAATCTCACAACTCATCACATGATCTCCCATGTTACGTTCTGGATAAACCATTCACTAATTCAACACCTAACACCGTTGCCCTATATCTGCACCTCATCCTACGTATGTTCCATATAACTCCAAACTCATATATATATATATATATATATACACATATATATACATGCGGATGTTTAATTAAAAACCCCACTATTAGAAAAATGAAAATTTCTTTGGCTCTTTAATGACATTTGAAATTTGAATAATGAAAACGTTGAACCACATAAAAGTTTGTAAATATTATATGAGATTTTTGTAGCTCTATTTTTACTTCTAATTTTCACTGATTCTTTTTCCCAGTTAATAATATATATAGAAGGTGCAAAGCATCTTAAAAATTACCATTATATATATTACGCAAATAAATATAGATCTGATATTTTACAAATAAATATAGAATATCTCACGCCGTATGTTAGTTGATGCTACAATCATTTTGAGCTATTTTTGCGCCGAAAAATATTGTCTGCGTATCCTTTTTATAGTTACTGATATATCTGATTAAATAATCAACTAACCGTTGATTAGATTAATAACGTTTCTAGTATCCATTCGATATTTTACAAACGGTAATGATGACGTCAGCATGAATCATCCGACAAGGTGTGATAACGAATCGGGTCAAAATCTCCGGGGCCGTCACATGGATTCTCCCACCTAATCCAGGTTTATCAGTGTAACTGATTTGCATTAATTACTTAATCTCGGATTTTAATTAATCCATCGGTGTCATGCTCACCTGCACGACACTATACTTGTGTCTTTTTTTTTTCTCATTTAAAAAAAAATTAGATTCCCCCAACAATATCGACAATTTTCTTTGTGCGTTGGTAAGGCACATGATTTGCTGCCCAATAGACCGAAAACATAATTAATGTGTTTTTGTATTAACTGGAAAATTGAGCGAATTGTAGAAAGAAAAAACTTGGGTCCCTATCCCTTACTTGTATTAGAAAAAGATCCCATAAAATACGTCAAATTACAAAAAAAAAACCTAAAAAATTATATAAATTGTTTTTCTATGTATAAATATGCTAATGATTTAAAAATTTCATATACGACTTGGGTTTTTAAAATTTTATCTAATTACCATTATAATAGTGGCATCTTTAAAATATAACTGATTTTCACAGGAATTTTCAAAATATACATTTCAATCGTTGTTTAATGCCATTATTTCAAAATATAAATATTTCAACTTTTTTTTTTGATGTAAGAAATATTTCAACTTTGGTTTCATATCACTAGCTACTCTTTTTGTGACAATAAATAATACTTTAAACACTTGTATATATATTTGTACGGAAGTTTTGAATCGCTCATATCCTTATATCTGTATTTATACGAGAATTTTCGGTAATTTTATTTATTTTTATGGGAATTTACATTCGTACTTGCATTATTTTAAAAGTTGATTGTTTATTTGGATGATCTTAATGGGCCTGTCTCGTTTACGAGAATACGTTGGCACATTATGCATACAATCCTGCAAGTGCATGCAATTAATAAATATCCTTTAAATTGTTTTCTTATAACAATGGTTATGTGTTACATTTATTGCGGATATTAGATAGTAACTTGCTCACGTACGTACTTTGTGTGCCCTGATCACATTAGTACATCAATAATTGGGCTCATTTGGGTTGTCCTTTGCCCTTGTCTCGATATCAATACGCACCGTTTCACCTCTAAACGCCGCGTTTCGTCCGGTTCAATCTCCAAACCGATCTCTGTCTTGGTTTATTCCAAACCGAACCCCGGCCAATGACTCAACATCGATTGTATTTCTGATCAACCTAATTCATTTTTAATTTATTTATTAGAATTATTACAAGTCGATCCTCAAAGATGCAAATAATTCGTGTAGTTTATTTATTATGCCTGAAAAAATACCTCGTGGCCTTTAACTCGGCTGGTTATAAATAGGAAGGCATCCGCAAATGGCCCGGAGACACGTGGCAGCCAATTCAATAATCTTAAGCTATAACAAAGGCGAGACGTGAGTAGCACTATTTTTTATTAAAAAAAAAAGGGCAATTAAAATGGACGGCTGAGAATCCGTCTTCTCGATCCAACGCTTCAAATTCCCTCTTACCCGAATCGCTTTCGCTCCCTATTTATCGAACGGCGAATTCGTCCTCGTTTTCATAATACGCACAGAAAAAAATAAAGAATTCGAAAAAAAAAACGCGGAGAGGAGGAGGAAGAAGAGATTGGAACGATGTCGTGGCAAACCTACGTTGATGAGCATTTGATGTGCGATGTCGGCGACGGCCAGGGCCACCACCCCCCCCCCGCCGCAATCGTCGGCCATGACGGCAGCGTCTGGGCTCAGAGCGCTAACTTCCCTCAGGTGATCTATTAATTGTTTATTTTTGTAAAATGTAACAGGTGATCCATTGTTCTTCGTCGTTTAAATGTGTTTTGAATATCTTCACGTTCATCGTTTCCGATTTGATTTTGTCCTTCGATTTGCTGTTCATGTTTAGACTCTGGAGGTTGTTGTTGCAATCGAATCGCGTTTTGGTTGGATCAATCGATTCCCCAGCGCTTCGTCGATCTCTATGCTCGCGGATTTCATGTTGAGATTTTGTGTTTGAATTGGCGATTTTGATTTTCTGTTTACTTTGAATGTACTGACGGACGTGATTCCAAATTATGCGGGGGGAAATGCTTCCCCTGCGGATGTTTAGTCAGTCCAGGTCCAAACAGTTGTAAATTTATGAAAACTTAATTGCAAATGAGGAGAGAAATAGGGAAAGGATAATAATCACAATTCCATATTTTTCAATGGAGAATTCCATTTCTTTTTCTTTTTGATATGATGCGAAAGCTTGCCAAAACCGTGTCTGTTTTATATGTTCCATGCCTGACATGTTCTCATGTAGACACAGAGATATCTTTGGATTCAAATAAAACTCTAATGGCCTCTCTGAATATATTAATCGTTCATTGTCAAAGTTGCACACTTGGTTAAAGGCTAATATCATCTCTGTAAAACAGTTCAAAGCTGACGAAATCACTGGCATCACGAAAGATTTCGACGAGCCGGGTCACCTCGCCCCTTCAGGTTTATTCCTCGGAGGCACAAAGTACATGGTCATCCAGGGCGAGCCTGGGGCTGTTATCCGTGGCAAGAAGGTAACAACAAAGCTTACCTCTATTGACACAATTCTCCCTTTCCTCATCCCGAATCCAATTCTTGCAATTCAAAAAACGTCTAATCTCGACCCACTTCGCCTAACCTCTTCCATCGCACATGTATTCATCATCTCACATACTGAGAACTAACAAGAACATATAAAGGTATTTCTGCGTTGACATAGATGCAATTGATGAATGTTTCTGGAATTTGGCAGGGATCCGGAGGAATCACGATAAAGAAAACGGGACAAGCTCTGGTGTTCGGAGTATACGAAGAGCCAGTGACTCCGGGACAGTGCAACATGGTGGTCGAGAGGTTGGGTGATTACCTCATCGAACAGGGCCTTTAGAAAAAACCCTCCCTCCAAAAAAATGTTTCTAGAGTCATCCCTCTCCCCTGATCATAATAACCACAAACCCGTCTGGAGATTGATGAGTTCAGATACTCATCAACTCAAGATTGAGTGTTCTGTTCTCTCGTGCTCGGCTTTTGTTGATTTAATTTTTTTTTTTTGCCTCTTGTCTCTTTTATTACACACACACACAGACACACACTCGTATTGTTCTGATTTAATTCTGTCATATATTTCTTTTTTCTTTATTGTGCATTTAGAGTGTGATTCTTTGCATGTATGCTCATGTGTCTACTTGTTCTTAATTTCTTATCTGAGTTTCTGCTTGTTCTAAACCCTAATAGATTTTGGGTACTTGAAGCAGTGTGTTGCGACAATAAATTAGATTTTGAAAAAACTTAGGGTAATTCAACAGGTGGAGTGGAGATGCAAAACGTCTGTTCTGTCTTGAGTTCGGGAAGAAAAACGTAATTCCAATCACATAGTTTATTCCTAACCCCGAAATTAGTCTGGGTTTAGGTGTACGATACCCATTATCCAAAAAAAAAAAAATCAATTAGATTTTCGTTCATCATCATTGTGGTTCTCACTTCTAACAAGATGTGCCAATTTGAAATATTTAAAAGTAAATTCATAATGATTGATGATGTCAATATTTAGTTTTTTTATTGTGGTTCTCACTTCTAACAAGATGTGCCAATTTGAAATATTTAAAAGTAAATTCATAATGATTGATGATGTCAATATTTAGTTTTTTTTTTATCTAAACCTTTCTTGTACCGTTTATATAGTAATACATCATTAACATTTCCATCTAAATAGGTACCACCACTACCACTTATTATGGATAACGCTAAATCTTTATGAATTATGCTATCTTACGGTTGACATTTGGATTTAGATATTTAAAACTAAATCGAACGATTTAGATAAAAATATATAACTTCATTCAAATCAATTTTAATCTAAAAACGTATTGAATATTTTTGTAATTAGATTAATCACATTCGTACAAAAAAATAAAAGAAAACTTTATTTAAAAATAAATATAGTTCGTAATATAAACCGAAAAACTGAAAAGAATAACATTAATTTAGAAAAACAAAAAACCTAAAGCGGGAAATAAGTGAATAGATGGGTCCACTTCACGTGATGAAGCGATGATATAAAACCCATCAATCAACTGAAAACATTCGGTGGAAACCCAAAACGTAAGAGGATCGCCTTCTTTAATAATTTTTTTTTTTGATAAAAGCCTTCTTTAATAATTGACGACGACTATACATATATATAATTATATATATATATATATGTGTGTATATATATTCTTTTAGAAAATGGTCATAGCCTTAGATTAAAACTTTAAAAGCAGAATCATTCATCCCAAAAAAGGTTGTCCGGAAAATCGATGGATGGATCCCATCTTGTCTTTGTGAGGTTGTGAGTTGTGACAGCTCACTAAAATTTGAATCACATTTTTCCATTTTTTTAAATCAAGATGTATTTGAATAAAAATATTATATACCAAAATTGGAAAATTTAATTTAGAGCCTTTTTAACGATTTTAATAGAATAAAATGAATTTGAATATATCTATGTATTTATATGTATACATGAATAAAAATAATGTATTTATTATAAAAATATTTAAAAACGAAATTTGTTAAATTCTATTGTGTTCATGTTATCAAAATTACATTTGTAATTTTAAAATTCAATATCTTGATCGATATCTATTATATATAAAAAATGGACTCAGAAAACATTTAATAGGAAAGGGGGTGGACCAGAATAATGGCATATCGAAGTTGGCACCCAGAGCATATCCACTCTGTAGACAATGATGAACATATCTCTTGTTCCTTTTTTTTTTTAATTTCTTCGATCGAACATGTATTTTATTTTATATTTCAAAATAAAAGCTTATGTACAAGCCATAATCAATTATTCAATTCATGTATTATTATTATTATAAGCTAGGCATAATATAAGATCTAATGGCATTTATCACGATAGAAGGCAATGAATTTTTTCGAAATATAAATGGACGTGTTTTCAATTATATATATATATAATGTTTTCCCAAGTGATTTATTTATTACAAAAATGTATTTTACAAAATTAAATTATTTCGTATATTCGGTGTATGTCCATACGCAAAATGCGTGTACATAAAAAAACAATATTATCTTTTTTTTTTCTTTTGACCGCTTGCAAAAAAAAAAAAAGGAATCTCTCGTGTGTTATTTCATTTGAACTCAAAGCGTTTCTGCGTAAGAACACAGGAGAAAGGGCGAGAACCTTCGAAAGAGAGAAGTAGACGGAGGAGAAGAAGATGTCGTGGCAATCATACGTCGATGACCACTTGATGTGCGATGTTGAAGGCAACTGCCTCTCCGCCGCCGCAATCCTCGGCCAAGACGGCAGTGTCTGGGCTCAGAGCTCCAATTTCCCTCAGGTCTTCCTTCTCTTCTTTTCCTTCTGTTTCGCGTTTTCAATCTGATCCTTTTTTGATGTTTTGGAATCTGTCTGAGTGCTGTCTGCTTGTGATTTTTCGTGATCGGATTTGCGGAAGCTCTGATCTGGTTATATTCTCTGGAAACTGAAGCGATCGAATCTGTTTTTGCAGTCAGACGATTTATTTTACTTGTTTTGCATCGATTGATCAATCAATCCTATTGCCTTGGTTCGATTCTGTTCGAATCGAAGCTTTGGATTCTTCATCTGATGGATATATTTCACTGTGCCGGTAGAGTTGATAACCTGCATAGGAGTTTATATACACATGAAAAATCATATATACGCGTGTGTACATGTGTTTGTATTGCATATGCCTGCTCACTGTGCTCAGGGTTTGATAGTGATATTATCTTGTTGTTTCGCCAAATGAATCAGACTAAAGCGAGGATTTCTCCTGAAACCTACGTTTTGCCCTTGTATCTTTCTTGGCCTTCCTCTTTTGATTTGTGCATCGGAACATCAGAATTGAACTTCTGATCCTTAGGATCATCGCTCATACATTGTTTCTGCGAGAATCTCTGCCATTTGTTTCTTCCTTCCTGTGATCCATCTGTTAGTCCGTGGCTTGTTCTATCGAGATGTGCATTAGAGACTGCTTTGCAATGTTCACATTCATACCAACCGTGAATGTCCTGTGATCAGCTAAAGCTCATTGCTTTTGTTCTTGATGATGCTATAGTTCAAGCCCGAAGAGATAACTGCAATCATGAAAGACTTTGATGAGCCCGGAACTCTTGCTCCTACCGGCTTATTTCTTGGTGGTACCAAATATATGGTTATCCAAGGTGAGCCAGGAGCTGTTATCCGAGGAAAGAAGGTAAAACAAAAAATGCATTTGTTTGTTGAATCAAGTTCTAGAAATCGTTTTTCTGTTGGCAAGTACTGTGAGAACGTTCCTGCATATCGATCTCTATAAAAGAATTAAAGGATCAGAATTGAGCAAAATCAACGAGTTATTATCATTGGCTTTCTTGGTGGGCTTGCAGGGACCTGGGGGTGTGACTATCAAGAAGACGACCCAAGCTCTGGTTATTGGCATCTATGACGAGCCAATGACACCAGGCCAATGCAACATGGTCGTGGAAAGGCTCGGTGACTACCTCATCGAGTCTGGTCTTTAAACGGCGAATCTGCACTCTTCGATTTGAAGGTTCTATTACGTTATAAACAAAATTCTCTCCTCTATTCTTCTATGATTTGATTGTAATGCCAAACAGAACAGAAGAAACAGCCGAGCTTGCTTGATGGTTTTGTGATGTTTCCGGAGTCATCGTGATATGTGGTTTTTGATGATCGTTTCCTGTTGTATTGAGTGATGCATCTCTCTTGGGGGTTTCATGTTTACAATAGTTTTGGTTTTCTGTATCATTTTTCTAGTTGTCTTGAATGCAATGATGGGTTTCGGTTTTGGTGGAACAGTCACATCAAATGCTTTACAATTCTCAACCTATTCTAAACTACGAGCCTTATGCGATCGAATGAATATCCACGAAGAAACAGTACGATAAAGACTGAATTGTCATGGGGAAAACAAGATTGAAAAATGAGAGTGACGGATGATAAAGAAACGGGGGGAGGTTGAGAAATCAGATTTGCATATAGAACAAAGCTAAGAACTTGGCATTGGGCAATCCATATGGACTAAAGGAATAGCAAGAGACTAGGGATGAACTTCATCCCAAAAAACAAAGAGCTACACTTCCACCTCATACGGGCTTTCCCCGCTTTCTCTACTTCTCTGATGAGTTGGGTCCTCTTTTCTTGCCGAATCCAACAACTGGAACAAAACCCGACTGCCCATTGTTAGTCATCAACTTCCACAAAAGCAATGAAGGACAAAAATAGTGATGACAAACCCCCAAGAGATGAGGAATGCACAGGAGTTCACCAGAATGAAAATTTCATCAACATGTTGTTATAGCCAAATTGAAGGCCTTACTGACAAGCGTTACTAAAGGAGACTAATCAAAAGCAGACATATCAAGTTCATACACAAACGAACTTCGGGAACCTTTTGTATATGATACTGTCCAAAACAATGAACAAGGGTTCAAAAAATTCATAATAAATAATCCATCATAACAGGTTTTAGTATCAACACATAACAATCACCTAAGCACCGAAACAGAGTCTGTCTGAAAACCCTAAACCGAAAACGGAACGGGAAGGGGAAAGAGAGGAGAAAATTACCCGCGGTGACGAACCGGCGGTTGTATTGCATGCGCTTGTGGGCACGACCACGAGGCTTCTTCTTCTTGTCCTGCTTCGCCACTTTGGGAGTCTGCCCCCTCACCTTACCGGCACGAGCCAAGGAACCGTGGACCTTACCTACATCACCACAGAAAATCCACCGCCAAAAACCATCAGCAACAATGAATTTAGAGAGTTCTGAGAGAAACACAGCATGAGAAACGTCAAAGGACGAAGAGACATCACCCATGATCGATCACAGAGATTATGCGGCAGTCGAAACTCGGTCTCTCTCGGGCTCTGTGGCAACAGCAATCCGCAAAACCTAGGGTTAGGGCTTTTATTTGTGACGCAGCTAAATATAAACACCGCTCGGCAGAGCCTATTGGGCCGACTTATAAGCTCGGTTAAGTGAGCCCATTAAGTAAATTGGGCCTACAAAGTGAAAGGCCTAAATCCACAATAATCTATTTTGTGTCGAAGATTTTAATATTGGCCCAATACAGTACAAGCAATTTCGGACCACTTCGTTATTCTTTTCCAAAATTTCTCACTTAATAAAAGCTTCAACAAAATACTCCGCAAGAGTGTCGAGAAACATTATATTGCGAGTTGGTTGCCATTATCCTAAACTTCCACAATGGTATATATGTATACATATATATATATATATATATATATGCACGGTAGAACAAAAGATGAAAGATCGAAAATACAAATATATTAGCCGAAAATTAAGGAACCTTAAAGAGGTAGGAAGTTTCAGGAGGCCGAAGCAAGTCAACGATGTCAGAAACCTAAAATGTGACAAAAACAAAAAACAGCAAACATATAAAATCAAACAAACTTGTAAGGATTTTTGGAAAGGGATCAGTCATCCTCCTCAATAACCTTGGTGCCCAAACCACTCAATCCTTCCGGCGGAATCTCGGCGACAGTCACGAGGGAGAAGAACTCTTCCTTTGCATCCTCGTCGTCGTTCCTTTTGCGGGCAATACGAACCCTAATTCTCCTTGGAACGCTCCGGATTCCTCTGCTCCACACTTGCTTGTTGAGCTTCACATCTACTCTCACATCCTTTGTCCCCATTGCCTTCTCTGCAAACTTTCTGATCTCCTTTATGGCGTTTGGAGCCTTCTTTTTGAAAGTACTGTAGAATATATATCAAGGGATGATCAAGATTTAAACATTTCCATTATCGTAACATGAGTAACGAGTTAGACTCATTGTTCTCATGAGCAAATGCCGTTAATGTGAGATTTGGGTTCGTCCTGAGACAGCCAATACAAGAACCAAGCATAGCATTATGAAACTGACATCTTATTAAATAAAAGAACGAAAAAAACAGAAGTTTACAGAGAACAGCTTTAACTACTTGGAATTTGTCGAAAAAAAGAATCAAAGAATGAAATTTAAAGGCAGCTGCTTTAGCAACTTAGAATTTGACGAACTTACTCCTAATTGACACAAATCAGACACCGGAAATATCTTGACAGAAGAAATCAAGAAAAGGGATCCATTAACATATTGCCCATTAGGTAAAAACCTTTACGCAACTTCCAAATAACTAAAACCAGATTTTTCAACAAAAATCCAAAGACAACATATTTGCATTGCCAGACATGATATGCACACGACAAATCAGTATTAGCAAGGACAGTTAAACGAAGAACATATGATGAAAAAAGAAACAAGAATACCATGTGTTCATCGTTCACCCAGAAAAGCTAAATCAACAACATACGTCCATGGAGCAGGATTTTTCAAGGTTATTACAATCAACTATGCTGACTGCAGGTGGAAATGATCTCATCAATTAAACGAAAACAAGAAATGGAGAAAGGAATCTAGAAACGAATCTAGGGTTCTTGTATTACCAGCCATGGAGGCGCTTGTGAAGGTTGACGGTGTACTCTCTGGTAACAACCTCCTCTTTCCTCCCCTTCGTTTTCTCCATTACCTTCGATCTCCTTATTCAGCTAAACCTGCAATCCGAAATCCGCATGAAAAAGAGAAACCATTTCATATCAACACGGATCATCGACAACAATTAGCACAAAAATTCTAGCTCAATCTGAAGAATCACGCTAACTTTCTGAGATAACTAATATAACAACAACAAACGAATACGAGAATCAAATCTAAGACGGAGGAAACAGAGGCAATTACCTTTCGTCGCGCAGGATCGGAGCTGGGGATAGTAGAACCGAGGAGCTGACGCCAGAGAGAAAATAAACCCTAACCGGGAAACCCTAATAAGAGATTACAGTACAAACTACAAAGTACAAACGATTTCTTCGGGCCAAACATGGGCCGTTTGGCCCTTTTTCTCTGATCAATTGGGCCTTTCCAAATTTGTTCCTTTCTCGCCACGTCAGCATGCGATCCTGTATGCTCAAGTCCACAGTAGGTTACACTATACCATCACTCCATCTCGTCCAAAATCCAAAACCAAAACCCCCAGCTTGAAGCTAAACCCTTAATAGTTTCAGAGTGAAGCCGAAGAAGAAGAAGAATGCTCCGATTCGAATGCTTTCTTCATATTTTTCCGTCTCCGACTACAACAAACATCCAGAGTTATATTCCCGCCAAAAGTTTCTCGCCGTTTCCGACCACCGGCGCGTTCCCGGAGTCGAAGATCGGGGAGATTCGCGCGGATTGGTCGGTAAAGAGATGGAAACTGAAATCGAAGGGTTTGGAGAGTGAGAGTGAAGAAGATATCGATTTTGACGACGAAGACGGGGAAGGAGAAGAGGGATTTTCGTCGAGGAGGAGAGGTGGGTACAGAGGCAAAGAAGAGGAGAGGAACTACGATAAAGACCCTGAATTCGCGGAGATTCTGGGAGATTGCTTGGATAATCCAGAAAAAGCTAAGAAAAAGGTAAAAGTTGGTGGATAATGGATTCTTGAGCTTGTTGATCATTTGTGTTCGGCACTGAATCTAATGAAGTTGGATGTGAGAATCAATATAAGATTGATTTTACGTTTATCAAAAAAAAAAAATATAAGATTGATTTTACGACAGCTATCATGCAAACTTGAGCTCTTGAGATGATCTGATTGCCTTAGACAGAATGGTTGAACTCTTTCATTTTCTGATGTGGAAAGATGGAAGAGAGATTGAGGAAGAAAAGGAACAAGATTCTGCACACAAAAACAGGTTCCGGAACTCCCATGAAGGTGACATTCAACAAGTGAGTGACTTTACATCATTGATTTGGTTATAGTAGCATTAGGTTCTTATTCTGCTTGATCCGTGTGAAATAAACTGAACCAAAGAATTGGTCTTCTAACCATTTCTTTTCTTGATTCAATGTACTATAACTTACATTCATCGTCTGCAACTGCAACCGCGAGTAGCTTTGAAAGGTTTTCTTGCCTCTATGTCTATGGGAATTATATCTTGATTTTGAACATGAATGAAATGTGACCGATATTGGTTTTGTCTCAAAGTAAGATCTTTGTTTTCTTGCTTGACTCTGCTGGATTAGTTTTTCTTGTAAATTGTAGTAATCCCTGTCTGTTGTCATTTTCTTACAAGTACTGCATGTTGGTTTTTGTCTTTTGATATGAGGTGAGGGACTTTTCCGGTTTTCTTTCTTCAAATTATAATCGTTTTCTTGAACTTTTTTTCCTTCCTTGTCGCTTTTCAGATTCAAATTCTCAAATTCATACATATGGTTTGAGTTCTACAACTCCCCACTGGAGAAAGATATAAACTTGATCTGTGATGTAAGCTCCTCAACTTGTATAGCTTAGCAGTCTCACTCTCTTAAAACCAAAGAAAATTCACTGCTTTTGTTCCCGATGCTGTATTCTTGCAGACAATCAGATCTTGGCATATCCTTGGACGTCTCGGTGGATACAATTCCCTGAATATGCAAGTATGTTTCACTGCGAAAAAAGAAAATAAAAGAATTGCTTTTACTCTTCTTAGATTCTGCCTTACTGGTTTATCACCCATCTGGTGCAGTTATCACAAGCACCTCTAGATAAGAGGCCGGGTTACGATGCTATCCTGGGAGCCAATATTGAACCCACCACGTTTTACAACATAGGAGATCTCGAGGTTCAAGACAACTTAGCTCGACTCTGGTACAACTCTTCCTCCTAAAAACATTCATCTCCCTTTGTTCAAGATTCATTACAAGGTCGGTCAAGGTATTTTCTGGTTTCAATCGCATGATCTCTTTGACAGGGTCGATATTGGAACTAGCGAGCCGTTGGTTCTCGATGTTCTGATAAACGCATTGACCCAAATAAGCTCGGAGTGAGTTCCCGACCATTCTCTAGTCTGCCTTTTTTGATCACTTGACAATGCTATGTCCCGGAATGGAAAACCTTACATGAATGCATGTTTGTATGAATCAGCCATGTCGGAATAAAGCAAATAGCGTTTGGTGGGTCTGAATTCGAGAGCTGGAAGGAGAACTTGACATCAGAGGAAGCTGGTTTCAGAGTACACAAGATTTAGAACTGCAACCTGTAATGTGTCACATGTTCTTGAGTTAAATACTCAAAAGATTCTTGTTCCAATGGAACAACTAGAGTTATTCTTTACCAATATGCATTCCTGGCTCAAAGGGCACATAACCAAAATTAAGGTTATGCCATAGAAACTCAAAACAAAAGTTTCAAAAGAACACATACTCTTATAACTCCTCTAGGAAAAACAAGGTTATGTAAATAGGTCGAGCAAAAACTCCATCAGTCCACAAAATACCCCAACTACAAACAGGTAAACACAGGTGAATCGCAGGCTTCAGGAGAAGATTTAGTGGCATCACACTCTCTTGGTGGCTTGCCTGTTCCTCTTCTTGACACCGGATTTCGTAACCTTGAGGCTTCTGTGGATCACGCTAAGCCTCGCGAGAGCAGCTTTTTCCAAGTCCGGCCTGTAGTAGTTGTCGGATACCTGAGAGATTCAACGAGACGTTGATTGATATTCACAAGAGATGAATAAGCAGGAGCAAAACCCATATATAGCTAAGAAAGAGACTCTCTGTAAATCCTATTGACAGATTAGCCGGGGTTTGAGCTCAGAAGCCAAGCGTAACAAGCGTATTTCACCGAAGAACCAATTACTAAAAAGGGCTCTTCTTACATGTTACTTTTCATCATCGCCCAAAGAACATTCTCGTAAAGAAACTCTCCAACTTCAACTAACACAAAAAATCTAAGCAGCAGCAGCATCAGCATCTCAGGCACAGCCAAAAAACAGAACATATCCACACACACAAAAAAACCCAAGAGAAAACACTATTCCAGAAAGAAACAAAGGATACCTGGTTGGCAACAGCCTTGGCCATTCTTGGGAATTCCTTCTTCAAGACAGATTTGTTGACAGAGGCAGAAGGCTTGCTCTGCTTCTTCGTCTTGGTGGTACCGAGCACGATGGCTTGTTCCTTGTCAGCTGGCTGAATGCTTACGGACTTCTTGTTGGCCAACCCTGAAAATTCCATCACAACAAATTCAAACTTTCCATCCAGAAAATGAGAATATGCAGATAGTCTCCCACACATGCTTTTCAAATCAAGCCTCTAAAAACTCGAGAACTCGAACACAAAGCTATTAAAAGTTCCAGACATCCCAGGAATGTGATGGAACTTCAATGAAACAAAAAAAGCTGCTCAACGATTAACAAATATCCCAATGGGTACAATCAATTCATTGTTAAATCATTAAGGTATCCCAATGGGTATAAATACTAAATCCTCTTCCATATATTAATTTGAACAAAAGGGACAAACTCTCCGCTCGCAAGTACAATCGTTGTCATTCACGAACGTCAAATGTTCAGAACTAAGAACCCTTCTCTGTCACCTCCCTCACTCGGTGTTATCTCGAGAAAACAAAAAGGAACACGAATAGATTACCAGAGTGCTTGTAGGAGTTAAGGTTGTAGAGATTGTTGGTTTCCTTGCTGAATTGAACTTTGGCGTTGCCTCTACCGAACTGTTTCACCAAGAAACAGTTGTTATTCTTCACGATCTCCCAGATCAATTGTCCCGGAACTGTCGCCATTTCCTCCTACCTTTGGTAACAGACGAGAAAACAACGACACATTGAGAAACATACACGAATAGGATCGGTCACGATGGTAATGAGACAACAAATTAGAACCATAAAAGGCAACGAAAGCCAGGAAATGAAGACAGATCGGAGTCGCAATTCACAAGGAAGAACGTGTCAGGTAAAGAAACATGCCAAACACCCAAAGAACGAATCGGTGAGAGAGGATGCAAGCTCACCGTTAGCCACTCCCAACCAGCCGACGGAGAGATGAACAGAGAGAGAGAAGTCGCTTGCTGGAGTTGCGTTGTGGCGACGAGTTTATATCCAACATGCCGAATTGTGGAAAACCCTAGTTGTAAAGAAAATAACAATTTTAAAAAATTATATTATATTAACATCCGGGCGTTTGGTCTAGTGGTATGATTCTCGCTTTGGGTGCGAGAGGTCCCGAGTTCGATTCTCGGAACGCCCCTGTAATTTACTAAAGGTTTTTATGTTTTTAATTTTTCCGTCCCCTAATCCTAATTATCTGATTTAAAAACACAAAACAAGAGACCAAACCTACAAAGAATACATGTCACATCTGTGAATAAATACCCAAAAGAAAAAGGAAAAATAAAGAAGAGACATCGTTATTTACACAAACTTCACAAAATCCATATTATGAAAGGGGCTTTGAATTGAATCTATTCACGTTTCAGAAATATACAATGTCGAGAGCGCAAAAGACGCGTTCGGCGTTGGACCCAAACATGCCAACCCACAAGCGTGAGAAATATTGAATAATACACATGCACACTTTGTAAAGTCCCAAACAGCCCACTTGGTTTATAAGAAATACCTAAAATGCCAGGAAAGCCCAAAGCCAAAACCCTCGGTTCTTCTGCTTGGGGTTTAGGATTCGTCAGATTTCGATCGGAGAGAGAAGGGAGGGGGAGATGGGGAGGAGGATATTGAACGATGCGTTGAGGAAGATCGTGAATGCGGAGAGACGAGGAAAATCTTCCGTGGAGCTGAAGCCCATCTCCACCGTCATGTCTTCGTTCCTGAAGATCATGAAGGAGAAAGGTGAGATTTTTCATCGTCTTTCGCTTTTTCCCGTCTCGGCTTCTATCTGCTTCCCAAAAATTCGATTTTTTCTTTCACAATTTTTGTTGACCTATGATCTAGAATCGTACACTGTGATAAAGTTGAATTATTCTCTTCTCGGAGAACAAATTTTTATGTGAGACAAAGAAGATTTACACCAAAATGAACCTGAAAACGAAGACGGTGGCTTTTGCTTGGAGTTCCTGTTTGATTTCCAATGTTTTGTTGGATTTCTGAGTTTGTCTCTTTTTCTTTATGATGATGGGTTTGATTTTTAGGTAACAATTGCGTAAAGTTTTAATATTTTTGTGTTTATGATGGTTGGATTGGATGGAGACCTTCTTTCTGTTCCAAGTCCTGTTTTTTTGTATTCATTGATGATGATGTCCCCTATGCTTCAATTCAGTTTTCTTCCATTGGTTTCCACTGAACAAGATGCACGATACCCACCTTTTTTTCTCTCTCTCAGGATATATCAAGAACGTTCAAGTCTATGATCCACATAGAGTTGGCAGAATAACGGTTGAACTTCAAGGGAGGGTGAATGACTGCAAGGCTCTCACCTACAGGCAAGACATCAAGGCAAGAGACCTTGAACAGTATACCGAACGCACACTTCCAACTCGTCAGGTATGTATGTATGTATGTATGTCCCCTCAAGTTTTGTAATTTACTCATTCAAGGAAATATGCAGCTAATGGCATATGATCATACATCATCTCTAATTCATGATATGCAGTGGGGTTATGTCATTCTTACAACTCCGGATGGCATTTTGGATCACGAGGAAGCCGCTAAACGGAACGTGGGTGGTCAAGTTCTTGGTTTCTTCTACTGAATATCCGATACACCATATCGCGAGAAGTTCTAGGTATGGAAGAAAAATGAAGTTTGATTCCCAATCCTGTGAGAAACCTGACATATCTCTTGCTTCTTTTGCATTTGTCTACCTGTTTCTTGCATTGTCTCTGAACAAGATGACACCTCTAAAGAACAGCTTCATTGTTAGATGGGAATGTCCCATTACGACAACATTTCGAGTAGTAACATCTATGGGTTTGGAAATGGCATCATATTTGTTAATGTTCCCAATTTCTATTTGGACAGTTACAATACATTGGATGGATGGTAAACAGAACAAATTTCATGATGGGCCATCAAATCAGATCAAAACCATGCCCAAAAAATTCTCACAGCTCCTGTTCATGCACAAAAATGTTACTTCAATATGAACAAGAACAAACTCATTTATTCCCTTACACACCAAGTCATCTGTATGAACGTATAACAATTCTATCTACTTCTCATATTGAATAACGAGGAAATGGAATTCATTCTTAGTATCACTTTGAGGAAAAGAATGGGAGGAGACGAAACTGGACAAACTAGTTAATAGTATGATCAACGTCGATTTGGACGATGAGACCCGAGCGTGGCCAACAGGTCATCGTAATCCGGGAGCTTTGGATGAACATGACTGGCCCTCTCCTTTGATGGAGTCTCCACAGATGAAGCATCGGCGTTTTCTGTGTTGGCCGATGTTACAACCTTTGGAAGAGAGCTTGAGGCTGACAATGGCTGCTCTTTTGGCTGTGACTTGGTCGGAGATTGTTGACCATAAGACCCTTTATCGGTTTTCGCTATTGCTGGGGATGAACTTTTCTCAGGAGCTTTCCCCTGACTCTTTGTTCGTCGAGAGAATTCAATTTTCGGCTTAGCATTGGTGGGTGGAGTGTTTTCCCGGACTTTGTTCTCGTTTTCATCGTCACTGAATGGAGAAAGGAGATTCAAAGTTGATGCCTGGGTTTTGGCGTTTGGTCTCTTGTGGTCTCTCGCTCCTGTTGTTTGCTTATCGGTCATCTCTTGATTTCTGGTAATCGAGCGAAGATACGAGGCCCGGGTCTGCGTCTTGGTTCTTCTATCTTGCTGTCTAATAGAATTGCTTCCCGGGAGTTCCTTCTCCGAATCCTCATCACTAGAAGATGGATCTGGAGGTGCAGAGATAGTCTTTTTCTCGGAGTTTCTTGCTTTCTCAGTGTAAAGCTCTTTCCTGTTACTTCTAGATGAAGCCGACGGCGAATATGACATTGACTGATCAACATCAGTTTTAGTATACTCTTTCTCCGGTTTAGACAATGTAGCGTCTCTTGCTGGACTCATTCTGTATGGAGGGCGCGTCTTTTTATTTTTTAAACCACCAGTTAAAGCTCCAAACCTCAGACCCATCTGCGTCTCTGAGTCTGATTCTTCCCGTGTTCCGGAATCATACACGGGCTCATCAGCATCTGAAGGAAAAAATTCATGTCCCAGTTCATCAGGGTCTTGAAACCTGGGGGATGAACAAGATGTCGATGACTTCAGCCTTTCTTTTACCGGCTTTTCACCAGAAATTTCATCCTTTTTGCTTAGCTCGTCAACTTCGCTTTCAGAATCTGGGCCATAATCGTCAAACTTGGCAGACCGTTCTGGCTTGTGGAAAGAAACCGCAGGACCTGTAGAATCAAACACTGGGGAAGTTGGCTTTTCTTGGAAAGCTTGTGGGATTGAGCTGAGTTTTCCTGGAGATTTATCTATGTGCCCTGCCGAGCTCCAAGCATTCGTGCCTTCGCGAGCATGTGTTTTATCGCCCAGCAAAGAAGATCCCAGTCCATAGTCCGATTTATCATTGTACGTTCCTTCTTTGTCAAATCGAGGTTTATCAAAAAATGAGTCATACTCATCAAAAGCAGCAGCAGAATGACCGATATCATGGTGATATGTTTCCTCAGGGCTTCTCTGAGGTTGGTATTTGTCAGCACTTGCAAAAATATTCTCCTCCAAACTCGGTGACTTGATATAATTTGAGGCAACGGCATGGTCATCAGGAAAGGTTCTTGAATGTGAACGTGAAGAAGCACGGCTTGATTGTTTTCTTATTTGAACCTCATCCGAGTAGCCAACATCAAGATCGTGTTCATTCGGCTGCCACTCCCTATTTGATTTAGCAAAGGAATCGGTCTGTCTCATCTCCAAGTTCTCCCGAGAATGCCTACCCCTTCTACCTTGTTCAGTTTCTGATAGTTCATCCTCAAAATGGTCTGATGCCTTTACCCTGCTAAAGTTATCTTTTTTGGCACTGCCCATCTCTTCATACTGCATACCATTTCTTCTTGGAGAAGGACGACCTTCACTCTGCAAATTCGAGCTGCTACCTCTATGTTGATGTTCATTTCTGTTACTATAAGAAGAAAGCGAGCTCTGTGAATCCGTGGAATTCTGCCTCATCATCCTTTCTTTGCTCGAAAGTTCTGCAGCAGCTCTTGCAGCTATACTTGCTCTTTCAGCAGATTCAGCGGCAGCACGAGCAGCATCTGTGGCGTCTACAAATTCCATTTCACACTTGCGCCTGCTCCTGTGAGAGTTACTCTCATCGTCTGGATTTGGATGCCTATATTCTCCTGCATGAGTCCTATACCCTGTATAACGTAGCGGCTTGTTTATCTAATGATTCAACCGGAACAAGGAACAAGACCCAAAAAAGGGGAACATCTTACCAGGCGGTCTTGCATTGGGGTGATAACTGTCTGAAGTCTTCCCGAGGTTAACATCAGGAGTAAAGTTGTGTGCATGGGTTGAAGATTTTCTTTCATCGTGTGTATACGGGTTTACAGGGACATGATTTCTTTCACTTGATCCATCTTGAACATTGACAGCAGGTGGAGCTTGGAAGTTTGGAGGTTCCTTGTCAGGGGCTCTTGGAGAATCTTCATGTGTTCTACTGGCTGACTGAAATGAACTCGGTCCACTCTGCTCAGACAAAATCGGAAACTCAATATTGATGGAATGGCTACAAGATGCAAATAAGATTTGGTTTATGCTACTACTAAAAAACGAATAGGTATGACAATGAAGTGAGGGCAGGTTATGGTGGTCAAGAACAAACAACTTTGCTCTGAAATTTAGTACTAACCAGCACTTCGGAGTCTTTTGGATCTGGTTCCATGAAGGATTTCGCCTCCCACTCGATGTTGTGCTCCTTGGCAATTTCCATCAAAATTTTGACCTTTGTTGGACCATCAGGAGCTTTTACAGACAACTTCTCCACCAACTAGAATATGTACAATTGAAAGGGTGATAATCAAAAAGGGTTCTCATTTACAAACAACCTTGAAAAATTCTTTTTATCTCATTTCCTTTCCTCCTGCCATTAAAAGAGAAAGGAGACAGATCGAAAAGAGAAACACACACAACCACTTACCAAGCGACTCACGCCAGAATTTGGACGCAACTCAACAGCACCAGTAGCAAAATCCTTTCCATATTTTGCTGAGAAATGCTTAACAATGTCTGAGAGTTCCGGGACATCTGCTAGTCTTTGCGAAGCATATAAGACACTTGCCACAGCTTCCTTCAGATCGGTGGGACAATTCCTGAAGTAAGATGACAATGATAAATACATAATAATTCAGACAAGTCTGCTTATAATCTCCCAAACAAAAACAATTTTTTTTTTTACACTTTTACTTACTTCTGTGAATCAATAACAGCCAAGCGTGCCACGAGGAGTTCGCAATATATTCCAACAAGCTCATAAGCAGCCACCATTTTCTCTTCTCTCACGACATGCTCCACCTGAGAATGCATTATACGAAAGATCGAAACACGGTTATGGAATCGAAACCGTGCTCAGATTGGATGCCAGAAGCTTGCTATGAACATAGAAATGAACCCAGATTGGACATTCCAAACCATTATATTCTCCAACGCACAGATAATACAATGAGTGCAAATACACAGTCTTGGTTTCACTTGAACAAGCAAAACAAATACCAATGTTTTCCGAAGAATTTGTGCCTAGTCAGAGGCAACGGACCATTGGAAAACGAAAATCACGGAAAAAGATGTCGGATTGCTTACCCGAATTCTAGCTGTCTGGGTCTGCCCAGACTCCAACAATTGAGCCAATTCTCTCCTCAACTGCTTGATCTGTATATCCTTTTTGTTCTTCAGTATCTTCAGGCGTGACGACGCCATTTGCAAAGCTGTTTTGCTGCATCACAAAGCGATGGATATTTTTTATAAATGAGGAAAATTTCACGAAAAATGTTTTAAAAAAAAAACGGGAAACACCTGATGAAATAGTATGAATCATTCGCTTAGCCACCAATTCAAGGCCAAATGGATCATAATTAAGAGTTTGATCACGCCGTTCGAAATAGAGAATCGGATCGATTCCTTTGAACCACAGAGGAAAATTAGGGCTTTTACCCCCAAGTGAGGCGAAAATCTCCGATCGAAGGGATGGAATTTCTGGGGAATCTTACCGAGGAAGCGTATATGCGGGGGAGGGGAGGAGATGAAGAAACTTGGGACTTTGCGTGAAAACATTATTATATGTTTTTTTATTATTTTTTGGGTCCTAACAAAGAGTATTTTTCTTTGCTTAATATTAAAAGGACGCTGACGTGTCAATTTTAAGAGCCCCGGGTAAACCAACGCGGAGAGGAGATCCAGTGTGTGAAGGTGCACGTTTGACGAAATAGATGGCGTTGACCGACTTTTCAATCAAAGGGGGAGAGAATTTGTCTCTGTTATAAATTTTTGGGGACGGATTTTATTGTGCTCATAAGCCTGTATATTTTATTTTGAAGTTCCCTAATTTATTAAATTCATAATTATACGTTGAGAAATAGACCCCATCGAACCTTCTCAAGGTCAACTCCAAAATACACACAATTATTCTATCTGAAAGGAATTTATTTGACTTCTCGGCACATTGTCTAGAAACTCAAAACGTTGGGTGGAACACATAATGTGAACAAGGAATGTAGATTGAGTCTTCCATGTTTATGTCGGTGCTCTCTAGTCTCTACTTTATTGTCCATTGTTTGAAATTGCAACAATTTACAACTTCACCATACACAAAAAAAAAAAAAAAACATTACATAGAAAGCCACATGATTGTAGAAACCGTTAAGATGTTGTTTTCAGTTATCGAACAAGGGCCGACACTACACTGAAATCCAGAATTTTCTTGTTTGAGGACAGAGTGGTGAACCAAAATGGATTCTCAGCTCCTACGCTCATGTTTTAGGGAAAGACGACGATT